ATTACGTTACCTCACCCTTCTTCAAGTTTGTTGTTCCTGTAAGCCCTGAAGACGACCCGTTACCACGGCCTTGGACTCGAGTGTTCCGCCAACGGACTTGGTGCCCACCCACTCTGTGTGACGGAGTGAGGGTGTGGATCATACACACATCGCCGTGCTTCCTCTGGGCGCCAATCCGAACGCTCTCCCTCCTGCCAACAACGCATCATACGTAGGTAGTATCACTATCATGGAACCAGTCGTGTGCGAAGCGCACCAATAAGCAAAGTATATCAAGCTGACAAGATGTCTGTTTAATCTACCTACCTATGGACCTAGGGGTTTAAATTGACCAGCCGAACGGGCCGAGACAGGAATCTGCTAGCTTTCCCTTCTCCTTCTGACGATCGACGGGGAATTCTTGACTCGCATCTATACGCCGACGCCCCGTCTTACGAATCAGACACAGAACGCCGAAGGACGCAAAAAGAAGGGCAGAGCTGGGAATCAAGCCAAGATCTGGAGAGATGGCGTCTTGGTTTATGGCGGGCAAACGGGACGGATATGGCGTCCTTTTTGGGCCTGGGGTAGAATTACAATAAATACTAAGTATCAACTACTACTATACTTGCTGTGTATCATGTGATAGTCTTTTGGCCTGTTGGTTATGCGTGTGTACACTTGTTGGATCTTCTTTGCAGCATTTCGGACGGCTTTTGGTCTTTGGTTTCGCCGCGTGTTGGATGTTGCAGTAGGGCGAAGCTGAGATGAGCTGCATGTGGTCAACAGTAAGCAGCTCGCAACAGGTGCAGTTGCTCGTATGTTTGGCGTCTGGTTCAACTGGTGCAACCACTTGTCGCTTCAAGTATCGTCAAGCGCAGCAAACCAAGTTAGTACATGCCTGCATTCAGGTTGTAGTAGCACGAGTTACGCATGTCCAACGCTTCTCATCAAACTCCGTGCCTTGATGCTTGATTACACAGAATCTCGGATTAACAGCTTCCATGTTCCGCCGTGCCATGCCCCACCTGCCCGGACCCCTCCATCGACCCTTCCCACTCTGCCCGTCGCGGTGCGCGTCATTCAATAGGGCGTTTTAATTGCCAGGAACGCGTTTCCGAGCCGCAAAAACATCCATGCGACAATGTCGTGAAGCGTGCTTTGACACAACAAAGAGAAAAAAAAGAGGCCGTCACTTTTCTTATACCAGCACAGCATAAACATAGAGAGCATCGGCATTTTTTCTGCTCATAGCCTTCTGTTTGTTCTTATTTGCTCGTTTCTTCTCTTATTAATTCTTTCTTCATCTATTCGTCGCATTGATATGCTGCATATGGTGGTTCGCATCTTCCGCTGGCAGTCTTGAAACGGGATCCTCCTTCGACCCATGTGCTATGCGCCTTGACGAAGCGTGTCTGACGCCCGGTTTCTTTACTGTCACGATCAGGCTGAGATTGTGCGCGTTTCTAGACTAAAACAGAGTGAAAAGCCAAAACATACATACCAGATTCGACCTTCTTTCGCATCTCTTTGTCGACTGGAGCTTCCCGAATACCATATCCGTCGATTCGAGCCATGTACCTCCCGCGGTCTCTGATATCCAAGCTCTACTCGCATCTCCAAAACACCCGCCATCCTCTCTCCCCGGCCGTCCTGATTCTCGTCGCGCTCGAACCGGACGCTCTCTGCGCCTGCCGCATCCTCACCCGCCTGCTCAAACATGACTACATCCCGCACAAGATCCAGCCCGTCGCGGGCTACAACGACCTGGAGAAGGCGGGAAAGGAGCTCGTCGTCCCGATGATGGAGTCTCAGGGAGGCAGTGGAGGCGTTGTCATCTGCCTTGGTGTCGGTGGCATGGTTGATCTCGGGCCAATGCTGGGCCTAGAACCCGAGGGCGATGAGTCCCCATACAGCGGCGTCGAGGTCTGGGTCTTTGACGCTCACCGGCCGTGGAACCTGGCGAATGTCTTTGGCGGCTTCCCGCTTGAGCCTGCTGACCCAGCGTCGAGCTCCTACCAGTCGAGGAGTCCGCTCGGCGTTACAGGAGGAGCCATTGGTCGGTCCTACAACTGTGGCAAGGGCGGCATTATTGTCTACGATGACGGCGATATCGAGGGCGACCTCACGACCGAACGCGATGCGTACTTTGCGCTCCTGGATATGCCGGACATTGAGGAGCAGGGAGACGAGGATCTTAGCGAAGACGAGGACGATGGCGATCACCCCGATTTTTCAGGCTCAGAGCATGCTCACGCAGGGCAGAAGAGAAAGAGCTTGAATGAGGAGGAGTCTAGCGATGACGAGGAGTCGCGGCCTCGCCAGCGGCGACGAAGCAACTCTGTACGTATAACATGATCTTTTGGGTGGCCCATTGCTAACGCACGTCTCAGTCGAGCTGGATAGCCAGCTCTCCTCGCCGGCCAGAGCACAGAGGCTTGCTGTCAATCCGACAAGCTGATGCAGTCCTGTCGAGCGACCCTGTCGAACCTCCCTCAGGAGCCCAACCCCCGCCGGCTGCCTCTGCTCGCACCCTGCGAAAGCGACTCCTACGAATGCGACAAAAGAACGAAGCCATCCTACACCAATACTACAGCATGGGATCGTCCTACTCCGAGCCCATCTCGGCGATGATGTACTCATTGGCCTCTGAACTGGGCCGTGATGACAATGATCTGCTGTGGTTGGCCATTGTGGGAGTCACGTCGATGGAGCTATACGGAAGGTCATCTGCAGGTGTTGCCGCCCCTGTCCGGTCGGGCGCAGGTGGTAGGCCGTCTGGCTGGTTTGGCGTGCGAGGCGCTCGGCTACGGCAGCTCCTGAGAGATGAAGTCCGGAGGCTGAACCCTCCGGAGATGACGAATGGGCGAGTTGCGCCCGAGAATAATGGCATCATACCCACCACGGCCAGGAACCCTGAAGACACGGGCATCCGCCTGTCGCCAGAGCCGAGGTTCCTACTGATCCGCCATTGGAGCCTGTACGACAGCATGCTACATTCGCCATATCTCTTCTCCCGGCTGAGGACCTGGAGCGAAGCGGGTATCAAGCGCCTTCACAAGCTTCTCGCCAAGATGGGGGTCAGCCTGGCGCAGTGCAAGCAGAGCTACACGCACATGGACATGATGCTGAAGCGCGAGCTGAGGGCGAAACTTTTAAAGTACGGATCGCTCTACAACCTCGACGAGATGGTGCCAGCGGTTGATACGGACGGCAAAGATCGCGCAGGAGCCAAGGATGGATGGGGCTTTGTCCGCAGCTGGGGCTGGCGCGCGACTCTCAGCGCCCAGGACGTTGTTGTCGTGATTGGTGCTCTACTGGAGGTTGGCAAACATGCTCATGCTCTGGACACGACAAACGGAGGGGGGCCGAGCCAGGTAACGCGTGAGATGGAGGACGAGTCGGAGCTGGCTGCCGAGGGCGAGGAGTGGGTTCATCGCTTCTGGGAGGCATATGACGCGTTGGAAAAGTGAGCTGCCTTTTGGAAGCGGTTGTGGGGAAACGAGACTTGGATGTGCTGACAGAACGATTTGCAGTATCGATGCCCTCAAGGCCGGACTACCGACAGCACAGTTCCTGCACCGCGCAATTTATCGAACCGGGACGTCTCTCATCAACAAGAAGCAAATCAAGCACCTCCGTGCTTTCCGCATGTGCGTCGTCAAAGATGGCCCCGACGTCGCGCTCTTCACACACCCGGCTGCCTTGACGAAGCTGGCCCTCTGGATTGGAGAGGCGTTGGCCGAGCAGGAGAAGGAAACGCAGGGCAAGCTATCGCACGGAGGCCGAGGGACACCGCTGGTGGTGGCGAGTCTCAACGAGAAGCGTGGAGTCTACACCGTCGTGGGCACGGGAGGTGGCGGAGGACCGGACACGCTGTTTATGAACAAGGCGACCAAGCAGGAGAGGCAGTCGAAACGGGAAGCCAAGGCACGCAAGAAGGAAGAGGCGCGCAAGGCCAAGGAAAAGATTCGCGAAGAGAAGCGTGCGGCCCGGCGAGCTGCGACACAAGACAATGACGACAACGGAGACGATGACGAGCTGGAGACGGAATCCGAGGCCTCTGACTCGTCTGAGTCGGAAGACGACTCGGATGATGATGAGGAGAAGAATGATCGGGGCTATGGTCTCAACAAGTTTGGCAATGCGTTTCAGGAAGTTGTCGCCGAGACGAGCGCGCGCGTCCGGATTGACAGCTTTGAGCACTCTGTTGTGGAGGTCAAGAAGGAAGATCTGGGTGGCTTTCTCGAGAGCCTGAGCGAAAAGGCTGTGGTGGGCTGAGTTGTACCATTTCATTATTCTTGGATGCCCTCACCTGGCTCCGGCGACGGGCTCACGGCTTCTCTGAATTACGGCAAAGGGAAAGTGGTGGAAGGGTATGTAGGCATGTTCTTGTTTTATACTTTTCATTCTTGCTTTTCATTTTCATTGTTTTTTCTGAAAGGTGTTATAGGAGGGGAAAGGGAAATGGTACACATGATATCGAATGAAACGAATTGTTTTGTGGAAGGGGAGTTTTCGAAGGGGGGGGCTGAAAAGGGGAGGGGGGAAAACATTACGGCGAGGTTTGAGGGCATATTTGAGAATAGCTTTTTTTCTTTTTTCTTTTTTCCCCCCTTTCAAAACGATGAAGAGGGGATTACTTGACGTTTTCGTGCAAGATCTTAATCGTATTGAATCTGCATAGCCTTGGTTGCTTTCGTTGTCTACTGTGTGTTTTGGTAGAGGTTGGTGTAAGTTGTTATGAGGATTTGTGTCCAACCGAGTAGCGGTGTCCTTATTCAACGGCATCGAACGTATAAATGATCTGTGATAGATAACCTTTAGTTACGAAGAGTAGGAGGCCTCATCACTGCACGAGCAGACACAAGTCCAGACAGTTCTGTATTTCTTTCCAAGCTGTCATGATTCTACATCGCTCTGTGCCAGGTCAACCAAAGACACCCTCAGTCGATCTCAAACATTTCCATCCCAGACAGCCCTTTTTACCCATTTCATCACGCATATCTCACCTTCCATCCCTACGCATTGATAACTATACCACAACACAAACACACACATTAGCACATATTCTTCAACCAAAAAACCACCAGCAAAAAGCAAAAAGAGGGGGGGTTTAGGGTGAAAAGGTTTTGTACATACCGACATTGAGCCCCGAGCTCTTGAAGCCCTGATTCAGCACAACGACAATGTCCTGCCCGGCCACCATCTGCAGGTCCTTCATCGTCTGCAGCGACACAATCTGCGCGAGCAGCGAGATCTGCGAAGCCGCGCTCAGCTTGTCGATAGAGCTGGCGTCGAGGACGCCGTCGAGGCCGAGCTGGGAGAGGGCGCTGCTGATGAAGGCGCCGAGGCCGGCGTTGTTGTTGTTGTTGTTGTTGTGGTTGCCCTTGTTCTTGTTTCCGTTGTTGTTGCTGCCGTTGCCCTTGTTGCCCTTGCCCTTCCCGTTACCCTTGCCCTTCCCGTTGCCGTTTGAAGTTCCGTTTCCTGCCGCGGCGCCTGTCTGAAGAGCTGGAGGCGCCGTGGCCGTGGTGGCAGCGGCCTCGGTGGTGACGGCGGCAGCAGCAGCAGTAGTCGTAGCAGCAGCCTCCGTAGCAACAACGGCGACGGTAGTGGCAGCAGTCTCAGTAGCAACAGCCTTAGCCTTGTCGGCCTTCTTGTCAGTAGGACTCGGAATCTCCTGCATGACGGCGGGCTCGGCGGCGGCAGGAGGGGGAGCAGCCGTGTTGGCGTTGAGGGGAGTCAGGCTCCGGGCGCCGAGGGCTTGGACGGCGTGGCCGAAGAGGGAGCGGGTGTCCTTGGGGGCTGGCATGGCTGATGAGAGGCCAGCGGCCGCGAGGAGGAGGATGGAAGAGGGCTTCATTTTCTTTATATGTGTATATATAAGAAGAGGCTGGATAAAGAAGTAGATGGATGAGGAAAGTAAAGTGGAGGAGGAAAAGAGAGATTTTGGTTGATCAAGCAGAAAAACGTGAAGCAGAATCAAAATGGAAACAGAGCACAGCTCTTGTTCAGGAAAGGAATAAGAATTGAATGTCAAAGGTGAGTGAAGCGCAGCAACCCTGAAGAGAAGGGGAAACGAGAACTGGAGAAGAGCGGACGGCAAGGGCATGATATACCTATGCCGCCTTCGTGGAACGAAGATCACCTCGGAGGGTTCCGTAGACAAGCTTTCTCTGGAGGATCCATCTTTCTTTCATCCGGGGCTAGAAAAGCTTAGCGATCCGGGGGGAGGGGGGTTGCTGTGGCTTGTGTGAGGCCTCATTGTCCTGAGACCGGATGTGGTGATATCCAGAGGGCTTGGGTACTTTGGTTGGGAGCGGGAGGAGGGGAGAGGGAGCCCCCCTGGTTTGGGGTGATGGCGCTGGTCTGGCTCTGATGCTGCGGTTGATGTTTGGTGATCACCACCAGTGAGAGAAGTGATGCCTAAACAGGTCTGAATAGGCTTATGGGTCGTGTAAAGACGGATAGCTAGATGTACAGCTTGTCTGCAAGAAGTAAGCAAGTCTCACGAGTTCGATCGCAATCAATGCGAAACGCGAATTGTTCTCAGAAAACACATACCCGGCAACACTACATCTAGCCCTGTCGCAAGAAGCGCCAAACATTTCGACAGTGGAAGAAAAGGCTAGTGCGGCGATAGACGCTGAATGGTGAAGGTGACGCTGTCGCAGGAGTGCACTGAAAACAGGTAGCTGAATGTGGTCAAGGGGGGGTTTGTTGTTGTGAGCCGTACGGGGGTTTTAAACATACAAGTCGAGACACGCGGGGTCCGGTTTCATGTTGGCGATTCTCCGACGCAAGATCGACCGGCAACGAACAAAGCCGCAGGATCCGGAAGAGTCTGGATGGCGGTACCAACAAGAGAGAGTGGGATTGGGTGGTTTTGTCTTGATGATTGGTGTCGGACGGGTTGAGTCGCGCCAATGCGTCACAATGGGTTGGCTTTGGGGGGGTTGTTTGTCAAGAAAGGTGAGATATCACGCAGAAGCTGTAAACGGATTTCGCTTGGATTGGGCCTTTGCAAAACAGGGTTATCAATAAGGTTCCCAGTCTGAATGCTCGCTAAAACGAAGCCAAGATTGTGATGAGTCTCGAGTGAGTGTGCGATTGACGCCGAATGTTGCCTCTTGCGGTTTCAGTCATTGCCGGGGTGTTGACGGTTAAAGGTCAGCAGTGATGAATGATGCCCACCAGAACATGTATCTTGTTGTATCGAGTCCCCAAGCATTGTCGAGTCACTGGAGAGACGACAATGAACGCAATCGACCCTCTTGCTCGTCTTCATCCTCTCTCAATCGCCCCAGCCTTGTCCAGCCTTGTCGACGTCCAGCTCCGCATCCGCCATGCATTCACAAGAACAGCTGGGGGACCGAAATCTGGCATATTTGACTTTCTTTTTTTTTTCCGTTGATTTGTTCCATTCTGTGGTATCAAGTCATCTGTTCTCCCTCGTCTTGTCCGTCGCATGAAACCCCAGCCACTCCCCCAACATCCCTCCCGGCTTCGGCACCGGACACTCCCTCGTCACGCGCTCAATCTCGTCCTCCGCCGCCTGGTTGAACTGCACCAGCCCGTCCCTGGGCTCGGCGTCCCTCCTCCTCCATCTCTTCCGCCTGCCGTTCTCGTCGACGACAATCTCGCCGTCGGCGTACTTTGTGCGCGGCACCGGGCAGGGCAGCAGGTGCGGCAGCGCAACGACGAAGAAGCTGGCGACGAGCGTCGTGGCGAAGAGCGACGAGGTCATGCGTGACCGGGGGTGAAGATGCGGCGGCATGGCTGAAGCGAAAACTCCCCTCGGCTTTGTTCAGGTCAGGGGGGAGTGGTTGACTGTGGTGGTGGTGGTGGTGGTTGATGCTGCAAGGCAAATCCATCTGTTGTTAGCTGTGCCCACTGCAGCCTTGTGATGCCCATATCGACATGCAGGTACTTGATAACGCGCGATGCAAAAGCGACAGGCAAGGGAGGCTCACCGGGTAGTCGTCGCATGGTCTTCCGAGCCACGATGCGCATCCAATTGTGCTCCTACAAGCTCCGCATGGCCGCTGGATGCCGACGAGCTCCAAGCAAGAAGCCAGAAAAAGGCGCCCGGCTCGATTCGACACTTGACATTCGATTGCGCGGGCGCTGATTGGCTGCGCTGTTAGTGGGATGAGCACCTCAGCAAACTATCGGAGCGCGGCACAACGTAGTTCCTGCTTTGCTGCCGTACAGTCCAGTAGAGTCGGGTCAGGTACCTTTGGCGCTGAGAGCCCAGGTCCAACTCCGCTGAATCTCAGTCCCACGATCCCGGGCGGTCTTTAGGCCTGCAGAGCGCTAAACGCAGCCGCTGGAGCCTGTGGACAACAGCCCGCGATCAGAGTTGGCCGTGCTAGAGCCAACGAGGCTAGCGGCATGCCACCTTCGAGGAACCCCGAGCAAAGGCAGTCTCAACTTTGCCTTCGGTTCGAACATGGAATAAACGCGATAAGCCTCCAGTCCAGTTTCAACATCGCCAGCTTGCGTCTGTCGCCGCGCGTGACTCTGCCAGCTCCCACCCGGCGGCGATTCCTGGGCTCCCGCAGTCTCGCCTCTCTCGCGACATGTTATAGCCATCTTTTACGCCTACCCGACAACTGCATCAGCTCGGCCGGCGCTCCTCCGTTCGGCGTCTCCCTCTGAGACCCTTCCATCATGAGCGATCTCGACAAGTCAGTCCACAAGCCCAGCCGTTGGCCCAGGCCGAGCTTCGCCTGCTAATTCATTGCCTGCAGAGCGATTGCGCAACTGCGCTCATGCCGTCCCATCCCAGAAGACCAGGTGCGGGAGCTCTGCCACCGCGCCAGAGAGCTCCTCATCGAGGAGGGCAACGTCGTCACCGTGACGGCGCCGGTAACAGTGAGTCGATGGATGGCAGGCAACGACGGGAGAAACACGGATGTTGACTGACTGTGTCTTTGCGACGCTAGATATGCGGCGATATCCATGGCCAGTTCCACGACCTGATGGAGCTGTTTCGCGTCGGCGGCGATGTTCCCGACACAAACTACCTCTTCATGGGTATGCTCTCTTCACACGACCGATCTTCAATCTATCGCCACCATGTTTTACTCACATTCGCTTCTTAGGTGACTTTGTCGACCGTGGCTTCTACTCCCTCGAATCCTTCCTCCTCCTCCTCTGCCTCAAAGTTCGATACCCAGACCGCATGACGCTCATCCGCGGCAACCACGAGTCCCGCCAGATCACGACGGTGTACGGCTTCTACGACGAGTGCCTGCGCAAGTACGGCAGCGCAAACGTGTGGCGCTACTGCTGCGACGTATTCGACTACCTCGCCCTCGGCGCCATCGTCCTCGGCGCCTCCAGCACGCTGTCTCCCGGCTCGCCAGACGACGACGACACCGAGATTGAAGTAGGCGGGCTCCATCATCAGCCGGTTTCCCCGCCAGCCCGCCAACCGTCCGGATTCGTCTCAAGAGAAGCTCGACGCCCCCAGCAAGGGCACACCACCGGACAAGACGGGCCCGCCGGGCTCGGGAGCGTCCGGCTCGAGCAGCGGAAGCGTGGGAAACCCCACGGGGGCCATCCTCTGCGTGCACGGCGGACTCAGCCCGCTGGTGGACACTGTAGATAAGATCCGGCTCATCGACCGGAAGCAAGAGGTGCCTCACGAGGGCGCCATGTGCGACCTGCTGTGGTCGGATCCGGACGAGATTGACGGCTGGGGCCTCTCGCCGCGCGGAGCTGGGTTCCTGTTTGGGGCTGACATCGTCAAGGTCTTCAACCATCGGAACGACCTCAGCCTCATTGCCCGCGCGCACCAGCTTGTCATGGAAGGTTTTAAGGAAATGTTTGATGCTTCCATCGTCACCGTCTGGTCCGCGCCCAACTACTGCTACCGCTGCGGCAACGTCGCCGCCGTGCTCGAGCTCACCGAGGACGAGTCGGGCACGGGCATCTTCCAGAGGACAAACGGCGACGTCGGCCGCAGCTCGGGGGGCGTCGTCGAGTCGAGGGGCGGGCCAAAGACGGGACCAGCGCGGCGGTACCGCGTGTTCCAGGCTGCACCGCAGGACTCGCGGGGGATGCCTGCCAAGAAGCCGGTTGCAGACTACTTTCTGTGAGGGGGGGGGCTTCTAGTGTTGGTTTATATTTTTCTGTCAAGTCTCTTTAGCAGCAGCTTGGAGCACAGCTTTCTGGTTCGATCAGTGTCATGGTTATCAGTCGTGTACAAGAGTGAAAAAGAAAACGAAAGGCTATACTTTTTGGTTTAGGGAGGGCGAAACATATCTGTCAACGAGTTATTGTCTTGGCGTTTGGGGGATTCTGAAGTAATACAATACATGGCACAATAGACATCCCAACGATGTATTCCTTCAATTTTTCAGCTGCCATTCTTCGAAATGGCCGTCTCATTCTACCGGGTATGAGAATGCTGCACGTACGGTAGGGAGTACCAATACCTATCCAGACAGGAATTCATCATTGTCAAGCCTCATGAACAGAAGCTTGCCCATGACTGTGGAAATCCACTGGAGGTTTCTTTTCTTTTGCAGTTTCAGTTCCTCCGCGTCCTTTCCCACAGAAATATATTCATTTTTCGTATAACAAAGCTTCAGAGTATAAGCATGTACCTTTTGATACCAGAATTCTAGAAAGATACTAGCAGCAGAGAGTATCGATATCTTGTTCTACTGCAAGCTATCGAATAAAAAGCAGTAATAAGTAGATATATACACGTATAGAATGTTACTGAGATGCTGGATAGTGTGGTTGGGGGGCTATTAACCGCATGGTATAATAAGCGAGGTAAACAGTCTAAGCTCGTGAGGCAGTGAATTGGATCTCCAGCCACGCTTGTCGGACTGGCAACGGTTGTCACAATCTTCACCAGAATCTATATATTTGCACGTTTATTATTTATACCCTCTGTTTCCCGTTATATTTTCTCTTCTGTTCAATTCAATTCATCCATCGTCAAACAAAACCATTCAACAAACAACATTAGCCTCATATGATATCAGAGATGGGCCAAGAAATGTCCGCATTGTCTGACGAACCGGAAATTATCAAGCTAAACCCCAAGACGCTCACTCGGGACGAGGTTATGGAAGAAATGCAGCCCATTCTCCTGCGTCTCAACGACTACGAATGGACTACAGAACTGGCTGCCGACATCGCAGCGGTCCTAACTCCCCAAAAGCTCAAGGTGATGCCGCGCCGGGCCAAGGCCTCGTTTACAGAATGGATCTACCAGCAGGAGGACAAGAAGTACATCCAGTGGCTGGAGAATGCCTCAGACGACCTGATCTCAATCACGTGGAATGAGATGAAGCGTATTCCCGGCGCCAAGATCTGGTCGCAGGGGCATCCCATCGCTTCCGCCTTAGATCAGTTAGTGAAGGCGGCGGACGAATTCAGCCCCGAGCAGAAGGACTTCGTCCAGGCTCGGGTTACGGAGATCAGGGGTTACATCCAGTGCGAGAAGGAGCGTGAGCCCCAGGAAGTCGAGCAGTTCACGGCTACTGTGCTGAAGGCAATCGAGAAGACGGAGGCCACGATCATAGACCGTCTCGGCGGTGTTCATGGCGAGATGCGGTAAGCATTTATTGACTTATCATAAGTCCCCCCTTTGCCTTCAGCTGCTTGTGCTTGAAGATGTACCTGTCATGCTAACTGTGACTTTTTTTGGTCCCCTTCAGATCGACTGGAAAAGTGGCTATCAAGTTGCCTGGACGGTCTTTCTACGGCTAGTCACGGCGAGCAATAACCGAAGACTCATGGCTCCAGAACATCGACTTAAAGGTAGACGTTTGTTAGTCGATTTGCTGGGACGGCAAAGTTGAGTGGTCTTGGGAACTTGGGGGGGCATTGCAGCGATAGATACCAACTTTGATAAGGAAGCTTTTTATAGCTTGATATACTCGAGGAAGTTTTTCAATGTAGACCTACTATAGTCTACTATCGTCTCGTCTTGAAAGCTATTGAAACTGACTATACTCCTATATATTCGTTCTGCTAGCTGTCGGACATATGCCAGTCTCGAACAGGGACCAGCTTTCTACTGAATTTCTGCAGGCGTACCAGGACTAGTAGAGGAGTCCACAGAAGGCCAACTGCCGGGCTGAGAGTACTCATCTTATTTGTCGACGATATATGAGAAAGATACAAATAGAGAAGATGAATGAAACGGAATCGGGGATGAAAGCTGTATTGATACTTCAGGCATGATGATAACACTGCTGCCAACGGTCACCGAGGAAGGTGCTCCCTTATCCTGAAACTCCACCGCCCTTTCCTTGTCAAGTCACTGTCGAATCCTCAAATCCTGCAGTCCATCGAAAGGACGATATTTTTCTACCCTCGTCCCACCATCATCCTCGAATGCACCCCCGTCCCAGCCTTTCGACGTTGATGAGTTCAAGAAACAAGTGTCGAGATCTTACCTCACCATTTCGCTCGAGGCATTGCGCTGCCCCTGTGTGTCTGACTGGCAATACCTGTCTCAAACCCTTTTCCCATCAGCATATGCCACATTCCGCTGCTCCTATCCTCTCCTATATCTTTACCTGCCGTCGGTCTACCCTCTCGTCTTCCCGAGAAACTCAACACGCAACCAAGCCGAAGAAGTGTTCAGAATGGTAAACGGCACGGGTCCCAGGGGGGGTGAACGTCTGAGTCGCCGAAACAACCCCCATCGCCAAAGCCTTGGGCGAGCTGGAGGAACTTGCGCGCAAACCCAAGGGCCGATGATGGGGATCTTTTCGAGAAAGAAGATGAAAAACTTGTCAAGCTGTTGATCGAAGGGGAGGAGAAACGCGATCAGAAGCCTGAGCCGGTGATGGATACTCTGGATGACCTGGAGCACTTGGTTGCAAGGCGTCTGAAGAAGGGGGCCGAAGGAATAGATGGAGAGAGGAATAGAATGTTGTGTCCTGGGTCAACAGCATTGACGTATCCAAGTGACGCGACGATACTGTAGTCGTCAAGGATCTGAATCTATTAAAGAGATATGCCAAACTTCAATATGTCCTCTTCCTATGTACGGCCTCAGCTGGCATCTACCAAAGCCAAGTCAAAAGTTGCCCGAATCAAAGGTTCAGGTACATTTAGTAGTATATCCGTATATCCATCTCGCAATGTACAACTCCATTGTCCTTGGTCTACTCCTCCGTCGTGAAACAAGGTCCTTGAGACTCCGCCCCTTTACAGGAGAGGGCTCTTATCCCCCACGCGGTCACCGCAGACGAAGCGTCCATCGACCAGCTTGACAGCCAACGAGGAATCAACTGTCACACATTAGCATTCACCCCCCCTTCCCCCCCCCCCCCAGCAGACACACAACATCCAAGACTCACCGCGGTCGCCCATCTCCAGGTAGGTAAACTTGGGAACGCGCTTCCAGTCGAGGCAGTTGCACTTGAGGTTCATTTCCGCGCCGCCGGGAACGGTGTCGATTGTGCAGGGCCTGCACGAGGCATCAAATCCACCGCTTTTTTCATCCAACTGATATCAGCATAATAGCCAAAACAACATCCACCACAGGTCCAGAAGGAAAAGAGAAAGACACAGAGAGATAGAGAGAAGCGCAACTCACTCAGGCAGATACTGCAACTTGCCGCCAACGTTGGTAATGCACTCGTTCAAGTTGATGCTCGTGTTCCACCACTCGCCCTTGTCGTTCCTGCACTTGGCCTCCAGCGTGGTCTTGCCGACCTTTCCGCTGCCGCCGAGGGTGATTTGCTCGCAGGTCGTTCCATCGTCCACAGCAGGGGAAGGCTGCTTGATGTTGTCATTGTCAGTGCTGCTGCTGCTGCTGCTGTTGTTGTTGTTGCGATTGTGAGAGGAGAGAGGCGGCTTGAAGCCCGGGAGAAGAAGAGGAGGAGGTGGTATTACCGCGCCGGGGAGGACGGCCGCGATGGCGGGCGTCTGGGTGATGACGGGGAGGTGAGCCGCGATGACGGGGGCCGGGGTGACGACGGGGAGGTGTTTGTTTGCGGGGGCGGCGACGGCGGTGCTTGCCAGGGTGAGGAGGAGGACGGAGAGGGACTTCATGGCTGAAGGATGTGGAAATTGATTTGAGATTCGGAAAGCTGATGAGGTTCCGTTGGTGGTTTGGTCGTTTGGGTGGTGTTCCGAGGGGGGGGGGGGGGGTTGGTGAGGTTGGGAGATGCTTAAATAGTGATTAACATCGGCAAAAGGCAGACGAAATAGCGACGACAAAAAAAGGAATGACCAGCTTTCCCCGTGATTCAACAGGATCCAGTCCAGTCACCCACGAAAGAAACAAGAATCCCCCCGGAATCGAAGAAGAAGAAGAACAAGGAGAACAAGTGAGGTAAGTCAGTGTGGAGCTAAAAGTTTCCGAGACCAAGACATGCAGCAGCACGCAGAAGCACCTGGTCCGGGCCAGCTGACAAGACTCCAACACACGCGAAAACCAGGTTTCTTAGTCTGGCAGTAGTTTTGCCCCAAGGGAACAGATGAGCAAGGACTGGCCTGTAGAGAATGGACGAATGGGATCGGAGGGAAGTGTGAATCGGGAGAATCCGTGCGTGCAACTATCCGACTCTCTGACCTCTTTGCTCAACGTGCGTCAAAAGTTGAGCAACTTCCCCGTTTTTTGGGTGAAACGTGAGTGTTAGCCGGGTCAACTCTATTTGACATAAAAGTACTACATACAGTCAAATAGCTAAGAGGACGTAAAACAAGTCAGAAAGTGCGAGGTCTAGACCACTGCTGATCGATCACCCTCTGAGAACAATGTCGGCCCTCCTGGATCATCAATGGTCCGATATCTGTTTGATGCTGATGCCAAGGAAGAAAGGCAGGAAGAGATGCAAACGCACGGATGGGCTTTAGTTTAAGCTTCATTCTTATACTTCATTACTGGCCCTGTCTACACTGGATTGGCGTGAGTTGGTTTGCGGTGCGATGAACGTGGGTGTATTGTTGAACACTAAACAATACGACTATTTCGCCGAGGACGTTTGATCAAGCGAGGGCTGCCTGCCTACTTAAACGTCGCTCATCCTACTCAGAAACTTATCACTGGAAATGAATACATCATGCGAAGAGCAGCATCATGGCCTGCTCCAGATCCAACTTCCCTCAGCCATCATGTACATAGTTACTGAACTCTGTATTCCATACTATCAAGCAAAGCCCAATCCCATCAGCACCCCCAACAGGGCATCACATAACGATTGAACTGCTTGACCATCTCCCTGGAAATTGCTCAACCCCCTCCTTGCTCATCCAACACCTATTGTCGTTTGCCACCACTCCCAACCCCATGATCCGTGCCCATCGTTCGTCTCATTAGCCTCACCCTTCTCCATTTCACCCACGTGAACGTGCCCTGCCCGAGCCAACATCACGTATAAATCGAGAAGGGGCCGCACATTCATCTCATGGAATCACAAAGCACCAACGTCTCCCAAGTGTTGAGCATGTACAAAGAAGCACCAACGACTTTCATCTTGAGCATGTCATCTTCATATCAGTAACTATGGACTTAATCTTCTTGGCCAACACATAATCGTTCCATAAACGTCTCATTCCCCTCATCGGGTCATACAGACTTGCCTTCCTGCCATCATAATCTTCAACATGAGTGCTGTCCAACTCTGCAGCTTCGTCACATCCCGTAGGATCAAATTGTCAAGTAAATGGAAAAAAGGGGGGAGAAAAGGGGGGGTAAGAAGAAGTGAAAAGGTAGAATACAAGCCAGCCATTGGCCGGGCTCATCAAGTCCTGCTTGTAACAGAGTCACACACGCCCTTCCGGCATGACCCGGTGTTGGGCCACCGCATCCAAAGTACAGCAGGTGAGAGCGAGGCCATGCCTTTGCGTATGTGAATGGTATATACACAGGTCAAATGAAAATGCTGAGATCAGCCGTATAGAATGATGAAGAGAAGGAAGAAACATGAAAAACCATTATCGACAACACATAAAAAGAAATAGGCATCAAAGCAGATAACAGTCAACCGGCAGATGGGATGTTGAATTAAATCTCACTTCCTGCATTTGCCGCCGAGATGCTTGCTTTGTGCGTGATACCTCTCATAACGCCCAGCTTCGCCCCTTTTTTTACCCAGATGTTGCGTCGACGCCCAAGAGTTGCGCGCAAGGCCAATATGCGGATGGCAAATGTACAATGTTCTGGCCTTGGCTATTTAAATTAATAGGCCTGGCCGGGAACGGGCTTCCTGCCGATAGGCCCTGCTGGAGGTGTTGATGGAGACTCTGTTGGCGACGACGTGGGTGACGACGAATTAGGGTTCAGAGGGCTGGAGACCGGGGGGCTCCCGCGTTGGCTCATTCCACTGGGGCTCTGGGGGCGGCTGGTGGGAGGTCCCTGAAACTTTGGTCCGGGGCTCATCGGGCGACCCATGGGCGACTGCGGTCGGCCTGCGTTGGCGTTCATCATCGGACCGGCGGGCGAGGCGGGGCGAGATCCGGGTCGCGATCCTGGGCCGGGTCCCATCCGGGGAGCTCCGTTGGGAGGGCCGTTGGGACCGCGCATGCCCTGAGGCGTCATTGGGCGCTGGCCCTGGGGAGTCATCGGTCGCTGGCCAGTGGGAGAGTTGGTTCCGCGAGGAGGACCGCCGGCTGCCGGGACAGGAGGACGTCCCTGGGGCGGGCGAGGCTTCACTGGGCGGGTAGACAGACACGTGCGAGGGACAACACCCTGTCGGGACCTATCCAGACGGATGACAAGCGCCTAGTTACGTCGAAGTTAGCAAAAGCCGCTAGAACAAGTAATACGAAAAATAAGAGTACTCACCCAGCCATCGTCGTATTCGTGGAGGAGGCGCACCAGGTCGCCGGCCTTGAGCTCCAATTCGTCCTCGAGAGTGGGCTTGAAATCCAGTTGCACGCGGTGGACAGTGGAGTTGGCAGGGCCGCCCGCCGCGGCAATGGCGGCGGCACCGGGCGAAGGCGCAGCACCAGGGGCGGGAGAGGCTGACGAGGCGCTGTAGTCGGTACCCACGGGGCTTGGGGGAACCGTGTCGAGGTTGTTGGTGGTCACGGTCAGGTCAACAGGTGCCTTGGAATTCTGGTTTCGGATCGACGTCTTGCGAGTCAGCGTCGCGGCTCCAGCAGCAACGACCGCGGCCGTGGTAGCCACAGCGGCGGCAGCCACAGCGGTCTCTTCAGCATTTGACACTTCCGGGCTTGGCGCCTTTTCGCTCGCAGCCGCGACGGTGGGCGAATACGGTTTATACGTGGGACTGGGACGAGCGGCGGGCGGATCCTGGACAGGAGAGGGAACACGCTCGGCTTGCTGGCCAAAGGGATTCGCAGGGTTGTTGCTCTGGCTGGTATCGGGTCGGTCGGCTGCGTTGCCGGTAACAGCAACACCGACAGCGGCAGCCTCGGCTCCCTTGGCGGCCTGCTTCTCGAGGTCCCAGCCGAACTGGGAAGCGGGTCGGAGGCTGATGCGCGGCGCGATTGGGTTCGTGCGGACTATTTCCTCGACAGGCTCGGGTGACGGTGCCGGTGAGAACTCGGGCGTGAGCGCTCGCGCAATGGGCTGCGGCTGCGGCTGCGGCTCAGGCACCGCAATCGGCTGGTGTTGGACAGCGGCAGCACCAGCAGCAGCAGTAGCAGGAACAGTAGCAGCAGGAGCAGTAGCAGCAGGAGGAGGCGTCACTTGCGCCTTTTCGTCGTCACCCGAAAGCTCTTCGCGCTCGGCCTGCTTTCTGCGGCGGCTGACGAAGAAGAAGATGAGCAGTCCCAGAACGAGCACACCACCGAGCACACCCAGGGCAATTCCCGCCTTGGCGCCGGCGCTGGTGCCGGAGCCGGAGGACTCGCTGACACTGCTGGGAGATGACGCCGCAGCCGGATCAACAGTAGGCGAGGCAGAGACGCTGTGGGCTCGGTTGCCGTCAACAGCCACCTTTGTCGGCGACGAGGCGTGCGTGGGGGAACCAGTAGCCTTGGCGAGATCATCGTCGGCGCTGGACGGGCTTTGCTGGGGAGAGGAAATGGCGCTCGGCACGGCAGAGCTTTCCTTGGGCGTCGGGGACGCCTTGTCCTGCTGACTCGGACTCGGGGTGGGCGTCGGCTTGGGGGATTCCTTGGGAGTGGGAGTCTCCTTGGGAGTCTCTTTCGGCGTCGGCTTGGGAGTCTCCTTGGGCGTTTCCTTTGGCGTGGGCGTCTCCTTGACCTCGGGCTTCTTGCTAGGGGTAGGCTCGGGCTTTGGAGTCTCCTTGGCCGGGGGTGGCGAGTGGATGGTCACGTAACCACCAATGGGGCCAGAAAAGGTCGGCTTCATGGTCTTGTAGACGACCTGAACCACGGTGGACTGCTCTAGGAGGGAGTCAGCATGTCAACCAAACAGTGAGAAGCCCTCAGGCTATCCGATCCAAGCAGCCATGAATTACCTCTCTCGACATTGTTCTGCCGATTGTGCGAGTTCTCGTCAGGGTTGACGCCATTGATGATGTTCTCGATGTCACCGAGGATGTCTCGGTGACGGTGGAAGTGCCGGTGCGAGTTGGGCATCTTGTCCAAAGTGTCACTGCAGACACGGCGAAGCGGGTATCCGGGGTATCAAGAAAGAAAGAAAAGAAAAGTGTTTTGGCTTCACGAGCAGGGACGTCGTGAGTGATCGCCGTAGCCTCTGAATATATTGGCGCCTGAGTTGCAAAGTCGAACGAGGCTGGGGAAAGCCGTCGGTTGGAACGCGGGACGGCAGTAATGGAGGGAGAATCAATGTGGTGACTATTGAGTCAAGGAGCGTGTCCTTCCACGGCGGGGAGAGACAAATTGTCTCGGGAATGCTGGGGGGGGAATGAGGGAACAACGGGCAGCTGAATTCGAGGCGCGTCACGACGGACAATGCCAGGACTGACTTGACCCTGGATTAAAGGACTGGTGAGGTGATGCAAACAGCAGCGCGAGATGAGCCAGAGGGAGCGAACAAAGACTCGACTTATGCAGATGAGAAGTCAGAGAATTTGACGGCTGAGGCGCTGAAAAGAATGGCGTGAGTCGCGAGGGTGAAATCAATATCAATCAATCAACGAATGAATGAATGGACGGACCGAGCGCAGTTCTCGAGAGGAACTGACGCAGAGCCCAGGCTGCACAATCGCTCGCTGGCAGAGGCGATGATGTCGACGGTGGTGAGAGGAGGAGGAAAAGAAAAAAGAGGAGAGGCGAGAGGAAGCGAGCGAGCGGCAGCTGGGGAAGAACCTGGGCGGGCAGGCGGGCGGGCCACCTCTGGGCACTTTGTCCACCTGCAGGGTTCAGCGAGTGCGAGGTACCGGTACCTGGCCGCGGTGCTTTGGCAGCCCCAATCGGGACGAGTGCAAGCGCCCAACGCTGCGGATGGCGGGCTGGGCGAATCACCAGCGGTGGCCGCAGCTGGCAGGCGCTCCACTGCGAAGCTGCCGGTGGGACGCTACTGGAGCAGCTGCAGCAGTGCGAGAGGCGGTGCGGTACCGGTACTTGTCGACTGGCAGTGAGTGCGTCTGGAGGTGGGAACCTGAGATGCTGTGCATCCGTCCACGGCGGGCTGTCAAGAGCTGCATCGATGGCAGACCGTTGAGCTTCCAGTCGATAAGACATCCATTACGGCCAGTACCTGTAGTGATAAAGACCATCGGTATCAGTACCAACTGCGCATTAGACGCCGGCTTTCCCCTCCCTGTCACCTCCAGCAGCCAATATGAGGATCAGCGTCGCTGTCGACCAAACAAGCAAACCGTTCAAGTCTGCAGCTCTCCCTCGAGCTCTGAGATTGGCTTTGCCTGCAAAAACCCTCGCCAGCCCGCCAGGATCCGCACAGGGGCCGCCGTCCCCTGGCTCAGGCACCGCAGCGCCGCCATTGGCTGCTGGCGCCCCCGGCAGGATGCGCTAATCCAGGAACCGCAGCCACTGAAGCCCGCGGCGGATGCTGTCATTGGCCCGTGCGACGACGCCTGCGCTGCTTGGCTCCCAGTTCGTCACTCGGACCCCTGGCCCTGCATTGACTTCGTTTTTTCCTGCAGGAATCCCTGCCTTTTTCTTCTCTGCTCTCTCTGGTGTTTCCTTAGCTGAGCAGAAACAACGCGGCCAAGATGAGATCCATGCAGGTACCGACGCAGAACTGGCAAGGTATGGCTGCCAGAGGCCAAAGCGCCATGCCGAATCCATCAATGGCGTTATCGAGCCTTTGCCGCCATCTCCCTGGCTCGTCTCCCCTTCCAATATCCGGCCACAGCCCACGACGGGACCATCGGATCAGAGTCGTGCTGCTCTGTCGAACGAGGCAAACCCGTTGTTTGCGCTGTTAAATCGAGACAACAGCTTGCAGGTATCATTACTCGACGGGCGGCAGTTGGGCGAGGGCGCACCTCGTAGCTGTACTCGCGCTTCAGCGAGCTGCGATGTTGCGCAGCTTCCCTGCCTCGTACCTACGAGAATGGCCTCGGATTTGTCAAACGGCGCAAATGCTGTAAGCAAATCCAAGCAGTCAATACTAGTAGTCCGAGTCCGGCTGTCCGGGTATTGTTACTCTACAGTGTCGAGCATACGCACGCAAAAGCTTGGGTCCACCATTACGAAGTGCGATATCCCAGCATCTGACATCCGCCACAGACAAACCACACCAGCACCCGATGTTCTTTCAAAGAGCTCTCCTGGCCTTCTCTTCTCCTCTCCTCTACTTCGAGCCAGCGCTCTCATCGTCAACCCCTACCATGACCTCACCTTCTTCCCACTTCGCCCGTCTCGACTAAACACCACCAGCATTCATTCGGCCCCGTGCTAGCCAGGGTTCATGAAACGACCCCCCCCCCCCCCCCCCCCCCCCCCCCCCCCCCCCCCACAAAACCCCCCCCAATTCTCCCCCCCCCCCCGTCGCGAGGGGTCGTTACCCCCCCCCCCCCCCCCCCCCCAACCCCCTTCACCTTGGCACGCAAGCTGCGTGGTGATGGCAGTACGAGAACTGCTACCTCGTACGAATTCAGCATTTGACTATGCAGCCCTGGCAGAGTGAGGCCTTTTTCCCATCCCATTCTGGTTTCGCCAGCACTTGGCTTCAAGGCCTTAATACTCCCCCATGACGCCCTGGCTTGTTCAGCACTCGCGGAAAGGGGAAACCTCTGCGACGACAAAAAGAAGCTTACAGAACACCCAAGAGGCATCCCAGCCGAGCCCGCGCGATATCCGCGCACCTTAGGCGCTCACTGCCCCTCCCTTCTGGCTAACAAGGCTGAATCAAGCGTCGCACACATCACGACAAAGCCAACACTCTCCGGGAAGCCTCCCTCAAAAGGGCACTCACTGCTACCCGTCCTCTGTCCATCTCGCTTCTCGGGCCGGAGGTCACCCAAAACGAAACAAGTCAACTCCGATTGTCCCTGCGGGGCGGATCGGATGAAGTGCAGGCAAGAAGGAAAGGACCGTGCGATCCCATCCCTTCCCCCTCCTTCACCACCCGAAGAAACAGAGCTTCCTCGCGCACGCGCTTTCTCTGTCTTATCTGATGAATTGCGGAGACGGGAACAGGCGATTTTCTTCCTTCCCGGCTCTCGCCAACATCGACAGTATCTGCTGTCTACTCATTGAAAAAAGGTAAGGTAAGGTAATGTAAGGCGCTTCCTACTACACGAGAAACGCCACGCTCCTCGTCGCAATGCGGCGGCTTCATATCCCGCACCATTCATCCCTCCAATTCGGCATAGACAAACAAGAAAACAAAAGACTCCTCCTCAGTCAGCCCATCCTTCAGCCGCAATCAAGCATTGAAACAACAAATCCCGGGGACCCGGCTGACTGCCGTGCTGTGTCGGTGTGTCTCAGAGCAATGGATTCGGGATCCAGTCTAGCCCTTGTCCATCCCGTTCTCCCCGTCATATAGAACATCGTATGCATCTAGTAGTGTCTTTCATGGGGACGAATACTATGTAGTTGGATGTAATCCGCTTGGCCTCTGATGCTTGTTCATTCAGTTTGCGCCTTACCGGCCATCACACTTCAGTGTTGGAGCTCTTCATCCCATTACAGACATGGCCAGAACCCCGTCCAGTCTCCATATCGGCGGCCTCTTCCTCTTCCTCCGTACAACATCACCATCCCCATCCGCGGTCCCAGGTAAACCAGATACTAGCCGCATACCAGCTGTAGTATCTTTGCTCACCCGTCTCCATACGGAGCTTCTTCTAGCTTCCTCCCTCTCACATCCAGAAATAGCGCGATTCATTGGCCGTCTCTCTTTGATGGAACCCAATCAACGCCATCATGTTGGTGCCTCTCATCCACCTACTCGCGACTCGTAGAACGGGTGTACAAGATTATTGCTCAAATTTTTCGAGTCGTCAATTGTCATTTTCGCTCTGCTACGTCTATGCTGCTCGTACGTCGCCCATATACCTTACTATACATATCGTATACTTCGTACTTTATACAACGCAAAATGCAACCGCCCATGATGTTTCTCCCGCTTCCAACCATCTAAGCAAACAAAATATCTAAACAAGGAAAAAGAGAATGCCGCTCAGGGTATTCGAGACAAAGAGCAAACAACCGCACCACGAAAACGACCCGTCTTGACAACCTCCCGCGACAACAACCACAACAACAGCAGCAGCAGCAGCATCCCCAAACGGAGAGAGAGAGAGATGATCACATCGAATCCTCCATCTGTCGGCTCCTCGTCTTCGTCCAACTATCCTTATCCTCCTTCCCGCCCTGACTCTCCAGCCCGAGACCCCTCTCAACCCACTCCTTGCTCTCCATGTGGCTCAACCGACTGAGCGCCCGCGCAAACGCAAAGGCCTCCTCCTCGCCCGCAAACAGCCCCGTGTCCTTGAGCTTCTCGACGTTGTGCTCCATGTTCTCCATCACGTTCTGCGTCGCGTCCTTGTGGGCCCCCGCGCTCTGGTTCGCCTCCAGCAGCGACTCGGCGACCTCGTCCCGCGAGACAAAGAGCTCGGCAAGGGGCTTCTCCGTGGTGAGCACCAGCTTCGCGTTGCCCTCGTACACGGCGTCGATGAAGGTGATGAAGCGCCGCGCGAGGTCCCGCTCCCGGATCGTCATGGCCGGCACATCGGTGACGATGAAGGCGTCGTACTTGCGCACCAGCTCGAGGTAGTCGGCCGCCGACTTGGGCTTGCGGATGAGCTCGTCAAAGGTGAACCAGGCGCACCGCCCGCTGACGCGCGGCACGAAGATCTCGCGGCCCCAGACCTTTTGCGTCTCCGAGTGCGGCGCAAAGTTGTCCGGGTCGCCCAGGAAGCGGAACCACTTCTCTGCGTGCGACGCGGCGTGCTGGTCCAGCGCGGTGTGGTAGACGCCCGACGGCGGCCGGGGGATCTTGCGGTAGTCGGTCGGCGAGTCGAGGTTGATGACGTGTAACCGGTTCTTGAGCAGCGTGATTGCCGGGATGAATGACTCCCGCTGGATGCCGTTCTTGTACAGGTCGTCTGGGTGCCGATTCGACGTCGTCACCAGCACCACGCCGTGCGACATGAGGCATTCGAGTAGCCTGTCGCCTTATCAGCAATTCGTTTGGAATGGGGATGCGAACAACGTGGGACACCTACCTCCGCAAAATCATGGCATCTGCCACATCCGTACACTGAAACTCATCAAAGCAGAGCACATTCCCCTGCTCCGCAATATCCGCCGCCACAAACGGCACGGCGTCGATGTGGCTCCCGTGCTGCATCTTCAGTTTATGCAGCCTCTTGTGGACGTCCTGCATAAAGTTGTGGAAGTGTATCCTCGTCTTCGACTTGACCGAGGGCGGCAGGGTCTCGTAGAAGAGGTCCATGAGCATCGTCTTGCCGCTGCCGACGTCGCCGTATAGGTACAGGCCTCGGGGCAGGTTCTCCGGGATGTCCTTGATCGTCGCCTTCTTTGCGCCGCCCCCGCCGCCAAAGAGCGATGAGAAGACGGACTTCTTGGCGGGCTTGAGGTCGTCGAGGCTGGGGTGGACGACGGGGGGTGCGCGGTAGTTGCGCAGCTCATTGTGGAGGTGCTGCAAGCTCTGGATGATGCCTGCATTGAACCAAGTCAGCCCATGTCCCGGAGAAGTTCGCTATACTCAGCTTAGAGGCTCACCTCGTTGATGCTCGTCGTTGCGCAATATCCCAGCCTCCACCCGCCGGTCATACTCCTCCAGCGGCCCCCAGTTGCCGACCGGCCGGTCAGAAACCGTCGCCATCGCCCTCCTCGTCGTCGGAGACGCCAAACACGTCCATTTCTCGACTCTGGCCTCGGGCAACCTCTTGATGCCGCCATTCAGCCCTGCTCGCATGACCACCCGCTGTGCCGACTGCACCCGAAACGCCCTGGCAAATCGCCGGCTCCGGGCGCAACACGCCGACGAGCCCATCCGGCTCAGCGGCCGCGCACCTCCTCTCATTTTTCTCTCAATCCTCCAAAGCCTCTCTTTTGCGACAATAGCCGTTTATTGCACAAATTCCTCTGAAAAGATGCGGTGGCCGTAAAACAAGCGTGAGTTGGTAGACAAAGGAGGGAAGATGTGTGAAAAGAAGAAAGAATTTATGAAGAAGACTCAGAAGACCCGAGGCTGACTGACGATGATGTAGATTTTTAGTGGCGGTATGGCTTGAGCGGAATTACGCCATGGCGGGTGGATTCCGAACTACCGAGCTTTTGTCGGGACAGCGCCGGGCACGTGCCTTCGTACCGCGAGGAGTGGGGACTGCACGTTGTGGCGGGTGTAAGTCGGGGTTGTGGATAGTATCAGAAGTCTGTTGTTGATGGACATGTCCGCGGAAGGAGAACTGCTTATTGTTTTGATTAAATCGGAACCTCTGATACTTGTCATGTTGTTCCTTTGTTCAAGTCTTGTCATCTACTTGTTGCTGTATTTGGATACCCGATAGGTTGAATCAAGTGACACAGCAGCAGCTCTGCATAAGCTGTGTTACCCTGGAATCTATCAAATCGGGGATTTTCCATCTCTTCTTTCATCAAAACCTCTCTTTTGGCAAATCTCATCAGATCTGCACTTCCAATCCATAAATGGCCCCATCTGTTAATATAGTCTTGCCATTCCATTTGGTGGTACTCTCGCATGTCAGACCAATCATCAGCACTAGAGATCTCAACTCATTCAGCTCCAAAGACACAACCTATCCCATAACCCACCGAGTCTCTATCCATCTCGTAACTACCAGTAACAGGCTTAACCAACTCTCAAATACTCTCAAAACCACGACAGCCTCGCGAAAACATTACCCTTCTAGACTTCCAACTTGTTCTCTCTTTCCGGCCGTTTAGCCGCGCGATCAAGTTTCTGCTTCTCTCACCGCACCGCGCCTTTCCCTTCTCGCGTCTCACTCACAGGCAACAGCAGTAGTATAACAAACCATCCCATTCCTGCTACTAGCTCACTAGTAGTCGAGTTCGTTTCCTGTTTGCCAAGTCCAATATCTATTCTGTACCAAACAACTAGTACTGGGTAAGCAATAGATCGCTCCACGCAATAAGCAGGCAACTTTGATGGAGCAATAGGAAACGAAGAGACTACCCTTGACAGTCTTCTATCCTTCAGGAACAGATAGGCTATTTAAATCAAAGCTACCTAGTATATCCAACAGGTTGCCGCCCGGCTCCATATCAACTCCATCGCCTTCGGGGGTATATCGACTCGCCACTTATCATACACCGCACAGCTACACACACACCTCTTGTCCAGCTTACCTACAAGAAACCACCGGATCGAAGCCGAGATTCTCTCTCTGCGGCAGACCATCCACCTTTCGTCTTCCGTCAGCCGCTCGCCGTGCATAAGGTAATTCATTACCCGTGCTACCTAAACAGATGACCCCACTCGAGCTGCCAAAATCAAGAGACAAGGTGCAGCGTTGGCAGCTTGTTTGCTGTAGAGCAGACCAGGCGCCAGCTTCACAGCTTCGATGCCAGGAACCATGGATGGATTCTGTCTTCATACCTTGAGTGGGGTATTGACTCGTATCGACATTCCCCAAAGGCTATTCTGTAAATCATGTTCCACTTTCGGGTCCTTATAGCCTCACACAGATGGATATAATAACGTCTGGTGTATCCTGGATTATTCCTGGAAGCAATAAAAAATACTCCTTTGCCACTAGTTGGCTCGTCAAGGCCGTTCCGTATATCCAAGCCACCGTGTATGACGAAGAACGACCAGTCTTCAAGTGCTGGTCTGGCTCGTCCTTTGGCAGTTTCGTGAATTCGAGCGGATCGTAACTGGGAACATGTCGTTTGATTTGTCCAACACATCCAGCAGATGGGGCACCCTGATAATGTGGCAGTCCATGCGACCACACCGATAGGAGCCTCATGTGCTCGCAGACGAGGCGAAGCTTTGCTCGGGTGACCCATCCAATGGTCTCGTACATGCGCATGGGTCGTCGCGCGTTTATCCGTCTTCGGTTCTCTTGCTGAAATCAATAGTAGCCACCGCCAGGAGGAGGCGGCGGGGGGGGAGGGCCAGGGGGAAAGTCACGGGCTGAAGGGTTCTGGTATGGATTCATGTGGATGTAGTTCATCGGTGCGGGATTTTCTCCGACGGCTGGCTGGGTATTTCCGCTGTGCTGGGAGACGTCGTCGAGTAACGATGTCGAAGGATTCATCTGCTGATAGGATGACGATCTCAGGGAGGGCGCTGGCCCCTCGGTGAATACTGGCGAGGTATAAGGATGCTGCGCTGGCGGTACTACCGGCTGCTGAGCTGCAACGTGAGGATGCCCAAACGGCGACATTGCGACCTGCTGAGGATCCCAAGGGGCCGCGCTGGCCGCCGATAAGCTTCCCGATGCCATCTCTCTCGTCACCTGGCTCGGCATGGCAAACGGCACGCTCGAGTCCAGCGCCACGGGCCTTCGAGGAGTGATGATCTGCTGCAGCGCCTGGACTGGATCTGTTGAAGAAGAGGTCCCCGCCTGCTGAAGGAGAAAGGAGGAGACGTATTCATCTTGAAAGCCGTGCTTGTGAAGTAGTTCCCGGAGCTGTCTGTTCTCTTCAGCCACTCGTCGGGCAGCGAGCTGTACCTCGGAGCTTGCTTCGACACCAGACAGTTCATACGCTCTTAGGCGCTGCTCGAGCTCCGCGATGTACTCTCTCCTCCGAGCACGAGATCTTCTCTGGTTGTCTCGGATGCGAGCGAGGTTGGCTTTTTGCTGCCGTGAACACAAGGAGGAGAAGGGGTAAGTCGGCCACTGTTTCGAAGCGAAAAAGTCTTTCGAGGGGAGGAGGGGAGGGGAAGAGGAGAGGAGAGGAGGGGAGATGAAGAGGGAGAGGGGAAAAAACATGATACACGTAGTGAACCACTTACTGCAGGAGTTGACATTTAGGGCCCAATGTGATTTGGCCGCATAAATAGCGACCTATCGCTCGAATCCGGAAGAAAGTTGTTAAGGATAGAGGTCCGCAAGGGGGAGGGGAGGGCGGGAGCTGGCGTAATTATGCGGCGCTGACAGCGGGCTTTTTGGGCTGTGGCATATACTGGAGGAGGAGATATTGGAGGGGTCTGAATAAGTTGCCTCGTCAAGCAAAGAGCTGGTCAAGTCCATATACTCGACAGCCACAACAACCATGACCTCGAGCCCGTAGAGTGATATAGAGTACACTTAGATGAATGGTGGTGGAAGGGGCCAACAGGGAGAGGGTAGAAAAAGCGAGAGAGGCTGAGGGCAGATGAGAAAAAAAAGTATTTGGGAAGCAAGGTCAGCAGATCCACCAAAGAGTCGCGGGCCCTGGACGGCGACAGCAGCAGATGAGAGAAACGGGGTCTGCTTCTAAGTCCCCCGGAGGGAATGGATTCAGGGACATCCGGATCCTCCAAGAACGGAGCTGTTGAAGGTCGGCAGCCGAGGAACGAGGGCGAACATGGGCATTCGTCCGTCTGTCCGTCTTCCTCTCCCGGTCCTTCTCTTTCCTTCTCTTTCCCTTCCGTCTTCTTCCTCCCTGGCTCGCCCTCTTTATTAAGGCGACAAGAGGAGCTATCCAGCGAGCAACGAGCGGGGAGAAGAAGGAGGAGAGCACGACACGACCCAGGCAGGACGCACGCAGCTCACCTTGCACACGCGCACAAGCGTCCCCGGTTCCGATATAATTCAAGGATGAGGAAGAGGTAATTTGGGGGGACCCAGGTAGCTTATTAGGCGGGAAATCGGGAGATGTACTTGGCAAGTCTGGAATAGAAGAGATCCATGCCTGTCTTGCGTACTTGTACCCCAGTAAGAAGCAGGTAGCTGGCAGGTAGCAGTAGTAATAGCAGCAGTAGGCCCTCAGGTCTCATACTCGTACCGTATGGATGGCCATGTTGGACACGGGAAGCGCGCTAAAAGAGAGGCAGCGTGGGCGGCCAGACAGCCCCAGATAGCAGAAGCAGCTACATGGAGAGGTTCCAGCCTCCACAAAGAATTTCGTACTAAGGCTAGTCCGCCCACGTTAATTCGTGTGTGTATCCATGGATGTCGGGTCTTGAAGCTGGGGCGAGATGCGCCACTCACGGCTCGACGATGCCGCCCAGGGTTCTGTAGTGCGCAAGCCACTTCGGCGAGCAAATCATCCATATCACCACGGCCTCGTCTTTGCGTCGTTGGAGGTATGCAGCCACGCCTCTGATCCACGTGTATATGGTCAGTGTGTCTCGTAGCGCAGCGGCAGAGGGCTGCTAAGGAGGGAAGTAGCAGCAGTTGGACGCCATGGTAGGGCTGCGAGCACCCTGAGAAGGACGGATATCAAAGGGGAGATGTCGCCTAGCCGCTCTGGCACGTCACTTGGAGCCCAGTGCCCGATGGTGGGCGCTATGGGCGGGTCTTGTCGAGGGTCCGGGATTTAATATGTAAAGATGCGTGTTTACATGCACATGGCGAGTGCGCACCAAAAAAAAACTGCCAGTAGTAAGATGCTCTGGAGCAGGCCTGACAGAAAGGCCAAGTTTGCCTGTGCTGTGCGGTGCGCCCCGGCGAAGCTGCCCTCTTGGTCAAACCAGCCTCCCCTGTTCGCAATAGACGTGATGTGGACATGCGAAATAGGGCGCAATATCGTCGTGCTTCTTTTTGCGGAGGACGACAGAGAGCAGCAGCGCTGGGCTGGGTTGGGGGTGGGAGTGCGGGCGGGATGCCGTGCCTGCGGTTCGTTCGGACAGACTGACAGGGCCGCTTTTTCTGCTCTGCGCTGTACTTGGCAAGGTAAGGTATGTATGTCGCTCTCTCACGCGCGCGCACGCGCACAGTACAAGAAATGTACAGGGCAAGCTGGAGCGAGCTCCGTTGTTACGCGGACATGCCTGGTTCGGTGTGACAGCATTTGAGGGAGCGTGCGCCGCACGCAGAGATGGGCGATCATGAGACAATCCCTTGCTGGAGCCACACTCCCGACAGACTGGATTCTGACAAGCCAAGGTGGTACGCCAGCGCCGTTTTGGCGGGGCAGAGGCTGCTTAGCCCTAGCGACGCCATGCCTGCGTCTGTTCGGCGAGGAGAGCCGTCAGAGGGGAGGAGGATTTTGGGTTTCTGTTCGTTGAGCTGGTGCCCGCGCGCTTGCAAGCATCTGCCAGATGGTCCCTAAGCAGGCAGCGGCCAGTGGGCGCTCTCCTTGCGGAAGCCGACCGAGCTCGTGCGAAAACACCGGTTGTCGAGGGGAACTGGCGATGCGAATAGCTGGCGTCGTCGCGAAGAGAGACATCGCGAGAGGGAGGAAGATTCGACAAGGTACCTCGTACTGGGTCACTAAGAACGTGCGTGAGCCGGGGCGCGTTCCGACAGAGCAGGACAGTGCAGATTCGAGAAGTCGGACTCTGGGCCCCCCCGGCTGGCTGCCATGTGGTTTCTGGCCCCGGGTCCGGGGTGTTAAAATTGAATCGTGTCTGTGGCCTGGTCTGGGTTCGTGTTCATTATGAGAGATGAGAGGAAGAGAGATGGTAGCAGATTAGCAGGACCTTGATGAAAAACGCCACTCATCCGCAGTTACATTGCACTTTGCTCCGAGGAAGGAACGACTGTCTGGCCACCCCCAGCGTCGTGGTGACAGACCTGGCAGGAACTGAAGCAGGGAAGGTATTACGGAGTACGGAGCAGAGTGGCCGTACCTTCCCTCCGCCGTCCTTAGTTGTACTGGAAAGAACCTGAGGTGTCTCATCCAATCTCATTCGAGGCACTTGAAGCGACGTTCCCGCGGTACCGGCTGGGCTTGTATCCGATACGAGCAGTTCGCGACCGGGTTGATGCCGGAGGCCCTGAACGCCCCTCTGCCACGTTGTTCCAGCGCGTGCTCGGAGGTTAAGTGACGGGTCGACGCCTAATCAAAACCTGGCAGCTCCTCCATAATTTGCCCTGAGCGGAATCCGGACCCTGGCGTTACCTGATGGGGTCACGTATCCCCTACACGCCAACCCGGTACTCGTCTATCCTGCTCTACCTCAGACGCGCCGATTGCTCGACTTCCCAAGGTTTCCACCCATCGAAACCTTCTGGCGCTGGAGGTGCTTGGCCTCGTAACCGCCTGATCACGAGACGCTCAACTGCAATTTGGCTGGTCAGTGAGGGTGAAAACGGGAGCCCTCCATCACCTCATCGTCAGTTCCAGCTGTGCTCCTGGTGAGTGTGTGTGTCCGGCAGTGTGTTGGCCAGCCTGTTAGTCGAAACTGTTTCTTCCTTGCATCTCACATTCCTGGCCGGCTGTCGCGCGCTCGCCCAACCGTTGCGAATGTCTTCACCTGGCGGGGCAGCAAAGCTTCTCGCTCTCTTTTCCCTCTTGCTAGACTGCTGTCGTCTCAGTTCTTGTGTTGATGCTCTCTCACTCTATTGCAGCCACAGACTTTCGTACAGATGGACGCGCATACGAATGGGTACCAACATGCTACAAACTACATCATAGACGGAGCTCTGGCAGCGGCAGTACTTCAATCTGCGCCCGAGTGCCAGGTAAATTGGCTCCTCATCTCGGCTCACCCCGGCGTCTCCCCACGATGATACGCTGACCCAGCTCGAGCTCAATTTCAGCCGCGACACGCTGCTGCTCCCTATCACACTGCATGCCATGGGTCTCGTTCCGCGCGCCTCTTCCACTGGCACGCTACTAGGTAGCTTGGCAAGGGGCGACTGATCGTGAAACGCAGCAGCGGGTTTTGCTGCTCCCCTCGCAATTGAAGACGTTGCTGTTATCCGGTGAGTCTTGCGAGACTGCAATTTCACTGCCAAGCTTGCATCTACTATAACGATGGATCCTCGAGCAAGACGACTGGACGATCTAACAAGACTACGCAAGCACTTGCTCCACCGCGACGAACTGCTTCAGGCAGGACGCAAGCCAGTCAACTCGCGGGGGTGACTGTGTTCCGGACATTCAGTTCTCATTCCACGTTGCTGGCGAGGGTCGAGTCCTTGTCAGGTTCTGGCCAAGCCAACGGCGTGTTCTGGCTTATCGGAACAACGGCCTGCGCTCTCAAGCGTTGACTGCCTCGACGGAATCAAGAAGCCGACAGACAACGACGCAGCGCCTGACACATCCAGGTCATTGGGGCTGAGCCACCATCTCTGCTGGAAATAAAGTTCCCTCTTTGCCTCGTTTGCGTTTGCACCCTCCTTGGCTCGTCTTCCCATTGGGCTGCCCAGCTCGGGATTTGCCAACTACTACTTGTCTCTTACTCCGACTGTCAACCTCGGCCAAAGAGCCAGAGTGCCAGAGAGCTGGCAGTCCAGGCAAAGGACCAGTACGAACAGAGAGGCGCCACAACTGGGCTGAATGAGTGAGCAAAGGGCCAGAAACGGAAAACACAGCGACACACTCGCCTCTCTCTTAGCGGCTGAAGGGCTGATTACGTATGAGCTGAACATGTTCGTCCAAGCCAGCAAATCTTATACTTGGTGTGATCTGGAGGGCCTAGACAGGCAAATCGACTCTGGCCCGGCAGCCGATCTGGACCCAAAAGCTTAAACAAGTCTTGCCAAATGGAGCGATAGAGCACCCCTATTCCACGTGAAGTTGCCCTATGGGCGACACTAACAACGGGGCTCCAGATGGAGCGACTGGACAACGGCTTTTGCCGTAGCTGCGTGAGCCCGATGCTACATTCCTTTTGCTGCTCGGGCCAACACTGCCGGGGGTCAATGGCTCGGAGGATTGGACAAAGCATGCCGAGCGGCACATATCAGCTGCCGCTCTGCTTTCAACGTCTCACCCCTCGCCTCTTCCCCCTTCTTCATGCTGACCTCCCCCCCGCTCGGAGCATTTCCGTGCTACATACACTGGACCAGCGTGGCGATGAAAGAGCCGGCGAGATGACCCGGCCCCGGTGGCAATGCCAAGCCGGGCCGGCATGGGGACTCGGAGGCTCCCCACCAGGTCCCTCGGCCGAAACGGTCGTACTCGTATCTGTTTACCATCCAGCCACCTCCTGAGGCTGCTGGCAGAGGAGTCACCGAAGCCGTTCACGGTGTTTGTCGATGAGCAGCTCCATCGTACGATTGTGATTCATCTTCTAGGGCGTACCTGCGTTCTCCTTCGTACCCGACAGCTGCTGCGTCGGCCTGAAGAGGAATCAATTTACTAAGCACCACAGCCACATGAAAGATCCAGACGAAGACCGGCTAGCGGCCGACTCGTTCATACACGCGTATTAATAGCGATTCGCGCCAAAAGAAACTGGATGCTATAATTGGCACGACACATGATACTGAATAAATAGGTCTTGTTACTATTTCGATGCGGTGAGACGCTGCCTGATGCTTACATACCATGTCTCAACTGGTTCTATTAGTGGCCTGAGCTCGCTCCATGACTGTGAGCAACGAGGTTGGGACTTTGCACCGCTGCTGCAGTCGTTTAGAGGCGGTTACCTGCTGGCGGAGACGCGACACGAGTTGTTTCTATCACGACGGCAAATGCGAAGCTGGCTACACCAAGCCCACCTTCAACGACTAGAATATTCCACCGCAACAATCGCATCGCACTGACGGTTTCAGTGACGGCAAACTCCTTGCTTTGCCCCTTAGGACAGTCCTATGCCAACACGGCAGTCTATTCCCAATATGGCGGTAACATACACAGCTAAACATGCATGGGTGCATGGGGCTTTGCGTGGCGCAGACTGATTGAGCACAGGTCAGACGCTCTCGTTGGCCAGCTGGTGCTCCGTTGCTTGGGCATTTTCGTGTTTATTCCAAGATCTGCGCCATTGGACCCTCCTGTTCACGAGATGTAACGTGCAATACGAGAGGGAGCTGCGCAAGTCCATCCGTATAAGAAGACGTCTGTGCCTGCTCTCCCTTTGGGTTTCATTTGCTCTCCTTTGTGAAGCAAGAAACTTACATTGCTCTCCAGCCCTCTCCCCTTTCCAGCGATTGGGTTTGTTGCTTAATTTACCCGCCAACGCCTCATTCATCACTGTCGCGACCCATCGAACTTGTAATTAGCATCGACAATGCCTTCTCTCAAGAGCTTCGTTTCAGCCATTGCGTTGGCGTATCTGGCCAACGCTAAAACCATCAAGATCACGGCCACGTCCGACAACACCTTCGATCCTTCAACCGTCAAGGCGTCTGATGGAGACATTCTGGAATTTGTGTTCGAGCCCAAGAACCACTCCGTGGTCGCTGGTGACTACCGCTACCCTTGCTCTCCGCTGGAGCTCGGCACTGGATTTTTCTCTGGCTTCTTCCCTACATCCAGCGGCGAGGCAGTACGTCTTCCTGTTATGGGAATATCCAACGTCGGGCCTCATACCTGTGCTAACATGTGACACCAGGACAAAGTCTTCCGCGTCGAGGTAAACGGAACCGACCCCATTCCGTTCTACTCTTCCCAGGGCAACGAGTGCGCCAGCGGAATGGTTGGCATCGTCAACCCCTCAGCCAACCAGACCCTCGCCGACTACAAGAAGCGAGCCTCTGCGCTGGCCCGGAGCGTCACCCCCGGACGAACCTCCTTTGGCGGCGAGATTGCCGACAACGACAGCAGCGACGATGACGATGGCGACGACAGCAAGGACGGCAGCAGTGGAAGCGGCTCCAGCAGCGACAGCTCAGGAGACAGCTCGTCCGACAAGGATGGCAAGGATTCCGGCAGCGTCTCTCTGTCTGTTTCTCTCGGCGCCCTGGGCCTTGCTTTCCTCATGGCGATTTAAAAAGTCGTGGTTGGTTCCTGATGCGAAAAGATAAAAAAAAAAAAAAAAAAGATCAGACGAATGGCATCAGGGTCTTGGTGCTTGAAAAGCAGTCATTGATACCCTTTTTCGGAGAAACGAGCTGAATGCCCTGGTACGAAGTTGATGGATAGTGCTTATGGGCTGGATATTATCGGCATCACAGTGGATGCATGAGCGTTGGATTTAGCTTCGCATCCATCACCCTATAGATATTGGTTTAATAATACATATTAATATTTTGGTCTTATGATATCCAATGCCAGCTAAATCTGAATTTCTCACTATCTCCTGTCTTGAAAGTAGATCTTTCCACTCCTTGCATCAATGTAGTATGGTAAATGTAATTCGTTTCGGATGCTTCAAGAGATTAGATGCACCAGGCTATATTCTCATGTTCCATCCAAGGGAACCTGTGGTTCTCCATGCCTTTTCAAGGTTCGTTGATTCGTTGATTCGTTTTCCGAATAGCGACTTCTCTCCAGGAACCAATTTTATCAAGGTCTTCTGTACGATTATCGTCGTCTGCCTATGAACCGTCGACAATAGTCCATCTTTCCACCCGAGCAGAGACCTCATGAACTCCAGGAAGATTGTTATATATCATGGTAGTAGCCCCCTTTCTCGATCTCCCGTTATTTCGGAATGGGAACAGGGCAGCAACATGGCTCGTTTGCAATACCCCGCGCAGAGTCGACAGGAGACAACAACGGATGTCTGGAGCAGGGCGAGATGGCAATGTCTGTCTGTATGTTGTCGATGGGAACATGAACCGTTGTTGGAGTTTGTCCTTGTTTGAGAGGGTCTCCAAGGGCGGAAGATGATGAATCAATTGGATGAGGCAGCCTCCCAATACGGAGTTCTTGCCTTTTCTCGAGCCCTTCAGCAGGAAGAAGTTTGGGACGTGAATGTATCATGCGTAGAGCGACTGGTGTACCAGTAGTCGTCTCTGCTTGCCACGATTGTTGTCCGTATTCGCGGTGCCCGGTGAACTCGTTCGCGAAGATCACGTCTTGAGTGTTGCTGTAAAGCAATGTTTAAGCTTTCTGTATATGTCTTCCGTCCTGATTGGCGTTGATGGCATTCTCTGTTGAGGTCCCACCATTTCACGGCACTCCTTGTGGTTTGTAGCGAGCCAGGTCATTGCCCAACCCATCGATATGCGACGCAATTCAAAGTCTTTGAAACTTCTCAAAGGCATGTGGTCGGCCAATGTCAGTTCGAACGAAGGCGGCAACAAAGAGTACTAGATGCCACTCAGCATTGCCATGGAAGGTTTGCTCGAGCTTAGGAAGTGTCGCGGCGCAGTGGGTGCTGGTAAAGGGTGCAGAGTCAGTCTTGCGACGGCTATCTCTGTTTGCGAGGCGAGCCTTGATCGGTCTGTAGAATGACAAGCATTCTGTGATGCCCCCCCATTGTCTGCTGCATTCCCACATCAGCTCCCGCTCGATTTCTTTGTTTTTGCGTCTAGGAGGTATCGTACGAGCAGTCAGAAGGTTCAAAGGCAACAAATGGCGACCTTATCTGTCCCTGCAACTATTCTTGGAATTCTGAAGGCTTGATGGTGTGACAGTGGCAAGATGTGCTGCCTCGGCGGCTCCTGGTCAGTTCTCTGCCTGTACCTCGCAGCTCTGTAGCCTCCCCATATCGACCAGCATATTCTCTGGATGTGTGGGTTGTGATATTCATCCATGTTTCGGTGGCTGTATACCAGACAGACATAACATTGATCGTACTTCTGAAGAAACGCCAGATGCTGGCTTGTTCCCGGAGTTTTGCGCCTGCTTCTGCGCTTGGACAACTGCAACAGCCCCTGCCGGTGTTACAGGCATGGATGTAGAGTTGTTGGGTGGCATGGCCGGTAAAGTTTGAATGAATGCAGAGCTTCTGGTATCATAAGATGTTGCTGATAAGCATGAACACCAGCTTACCACCGTAGATGAGATGGAGGGTCATAGTATGTAGGGTCTCTAACCTGGGGGAGGCATGTGTGATGGAATCGTATGGTAGCAGGGCTTCCAAGAACCTGCGTCACATCTTCTCACACCATTGGTAAGTCCAGAAGACCGCCTGGACCTTGTTCCCTTTATAAAAAACTCAATGTGATGATGGCTTTGCCATCCTGAAGCTGCTTGATCCAGGCCTGTGTGGCAGAGAGGCCGTCGAGTCTTTGGACGCAAAGTCTCCTGCCGGTCGTTGTAGACGTTTATCTGGTGGGAGGAAATTGGCTCGTCGTCGCTTGTGTCTCAAGATCTGGGCCATCTCCTGAGCAGTCAAAGCCCTGTAATTGCCCCAAGCCTTTCCTTGTTTGTTGCTGGGGCGGGAGGTTCGGCGGCGATGCATGATGTGAGCCGATGGGCCCGTGGTGTGACTTGTGATACTCCATTGTTCAATGTACTCGTACTAGAGCCATGATACATCGCCGTTGATAGGAATTTGGCTCAGTCTCTCTTCTTCGATCTCCAGGTCGCGATACCCAGGGCGGTTGTGCTTGGAGGAGCAGCTCTTGTCGAATTGCATGCTGTTGAAGGTGGAAATCGCGACAAGATTGATATATTATAGGTGACTGCTTAGTCTCATTTGCCGGCCTGAGGATGATAACAGTCCAGGCCTGGCGACGGAGGAGGCAACTGAGTGTACACACTGCCAGTATCGCGAAGGAAGTTGATAACGCGGCCTCTATGGCGATATTGTTGGCCATGATGCTGATATACCTGTACATGGACATGGAGCTTGCCTATTAACATCTCTTCCGCTTGGGATAGCACAGGGAGGTGGGCGGGAATATCTCCAAAGTCCAGGTCATTCTCGTGGTTGTAGGAAACAGGTTCATCGGGGGACTTTTCGGCATCCTTGTGGTGTGTATTATAGCGATTCATTGCTAGATGGACCTCTGACAGAGCCATCAGGTATGCGAGGTGACTGGGATAGCTGATCCCATGTGAATGGGACTGGCAGAGAAACGCGTGGCAATGGTGACAATGGTCGAACTGCCTAAGACCAGGTAATGGGAGCATCCAAGATCTTGCCAGCGTCCCCTGCGTCGTCTCATCCGTATCCCTTCTGATAGTTCTTGTGGCTTCTATTTGCAGAGGAGACGAGGAGTACATTGCCAGATGGCTTGATGGCATATCAAGATCTGTCCACTTCTTTGAACGGAGAGTTGCCAAAGGAATTATTGGTGAATAAACTTGTTGGGATGACGGCAGGTTGGTGTGGCGTCCTGATTCCAGTTCTGCATCTCTCGTAGCTGGTTGCTAGATGCATTGCTAGTCTGGCCGAACCCCAGGAGCTCCATCTATGGAATCATGCTCTCTGCATCGTCACGTTGTCGACGTGTGTTCGACCAACGTCAGGCTTCCTTCATCCGTCTCAGAAACGGCTGTTCCTCTGGGTAACTGGAAAGTTATGGCTCAATCTCCCTGCTGTGAAAATGGCTCGATATTCCCGATCTTGATCCGCGAGGGCTCTCGGACCAAATTGTTTGTTGTCTCCCATCCACATAGCCGGCGTGGTGGGGAAGGCTGACACTGGGAGGAGGCAGGTGTTCTCGGTCATGCGGCCAGCTTCGTCAATGACGAAGATAGTGCTGCGAGCTTGCCAGGTCTGTTCACTGCGCCTAGGACACGGTACTTGTTTTCGTTTTTTGTTGGCTCGCGGCAAAAGAATAAACTGGTTTCCAGCTTTCATAATCTCCCTGTAGTGCAATGTCGAAGAGGACGTCATGACTATGGTTCGAGTAGTCTAAGGCATATTAGTAGGCGCTTCTCCTTGTTGCATTATACATACCTCTGGATTTGTGTTTGATAGTCCCTTCACGGCCTTCACAAGGTTGCCGCATGAATCACTCGAATGGATCCGAATCTCTTGTTATCTCCCTTAGAGCCATAGTAAAGGAGGATTGTAAGGCTGGGAAAAGTTGCTGCAGCCTCGCTAATGGTCTGAGGGTATGGTAGAAACCGGATTGATAATCAGCGTGGGAAGGTAGACGTCCCTCTGGTCCTCTGGCAAAGCAGTGACATCCTTCTCTAATTGTATAGCCCTGCATTTGATCATAGACAAAGACACTTTGGTCTTGCCCATACCCATCTCGTTGCCAAAAAGATCATGGCCGAGTGAGTCAAGCTTGTCGAAGATGACACCCAAGTCTGCAATATGTCAGTAGTTGGTGATCTCTCTCATATTATTCGTCGTCTGTCGTATCTAACGAAGACGCGTTGAATGGAAAGGTGGCACGAAGAATCCCCGTCCCTATCATGGTCGTCCCATTCGTGGTTTTGCTCGGGGTCATGCTGCTGGTTCCCCGATAGTTCGTCGCTAAGCTGAGTGAACCTAGTAGAGCTTTCCTGATCTCCTGCCCAATCGGTCTCATCTTCTGGGCAGGCTGGACAATTCGTAAACCCATGCCGAGCTGAGGCATGGGGCCTAAGCTGTCCTTCTTGAACAAGGACTTCGCATGGGCACCTGATCCACTTATGTTCATCTCGAACATGCTCTCAAATCTTAGTTTACGCTTGGGAGGAAGAAACAGATTATTCAAGTCTTACCTGGCCCCAAACCACCGAGTCATACGCATGGTCGACGTAAACAATCCGGACTGAAGGATAAGTAAATCGGTGTCAGGAAGCCCCATCAGCAGCTGTTGAAGAGTCCCTTTTCAGTCAACCGTAGTCGGTAACTATAAGACTATCCTTCTCCCCATTCGTGATTCTATGCCACCCTCAAAGTGTGCCAAAAGGGATTTGGTGACTGAGATCGGTGGCGACGTTGGAAAGTTTGATGTGACCTGGGCACGGGGGTACCTATTGTGTTGTTGTCCGAACCGCTCCCTCAGCATTCATAGCATTCGGTGTTGCCCCTTGATGCGGTTACCCATCTTTCCCTCGGCAGACAGAGTGGTGGCTTGCCTCTGTAGCATCCGACTTTCCTAATAGTAGGCATTCCGTGTGACCCGGATATCCTATTCCACGATCTCTACGGTAATGCCTGTGCTGGTCGGATTCGTACACTTGGCTCTCTCCGTTCCAACCGCCATTTCCTCGTCCCTGGTGTCTTTATCCGATCTTGGCGACACATTTCGACAGACTGTCTTTGCATCTACTTTGGTGCCCTTGATCGGCGATTGATGCATTGGCATCTCGCGGTGTGGCTTTCGGAGGCTTCGCCGGCGCTTGGTCATGGTGTGAGCTGATGGCACATCCCGTTTTTCTTGAATATCACAACTTCCAACACCACAGACATCAACATCACGATTTCTTCGGGATTCAACCCTATACAACGGCCAATACTGTCTGTGGTTCTAACCTCGTGATATAGGTTACAGAACGCCAAGCCAAAACGCGGCGGGTGTCTGCTAACTGTTTTACACTTTTGTCTGTCTGGCCTTGTGGTTGGAGCAAAATGCCTTGTAACAGTGGTAGCATGGTAGAGAGGCTTGATTATTGAAATCGTGACTGTCCATTTGACAATGACTGAAACATCGTCCCGCTTGCCAGTGACCGAAAAGAATGTCCACAACCCGCGCTGAATCTGGGTGACTTGCCTCATGGTCGTGGTCCTCAGCAGCCTGCCTGGTTTAGGGCCATATTTTGATGAAAGTGATGGGGAAGACGCATCACGCTTTCTCTAGTTGGAAGTCGTCAATAACCGGCGACGAACGGACGAGAGCCTAGAATGTATGTGCCTCTCTGTAGGACTCTGTCTTCGAATCCTATCGAAGATTTCCCGGCTGATTCAGTTTTCGAAGCATCAACCATCTTTGACTTGTCAGTCTGCCTCCCTCCTCTCTTGTCGTCAATCGTGCACGAAGTAAGACAAATGCCTCGGTAACTTTGCTCTCTCAAAAAGACTCTCCGTGCCGGTTTCACGCAAATAGGGCCGAGTATGTAGGTGCTTCCGCCGATGGAATCATAATCATTTGCCGCGGCCGCGACGCTTCTGCCCAAGAACTTCACGGACCCTAGCCCACATTCAATCAAGGCCTCGCGGCCCTGCACGTCGAGTATCATCCTGACATTTCTCTCCGTGTACTGGGTCAGCGCGTGGAAATTGACGTCTGTTGATAGCATGATTTCCGCTTGTTTCTTCCTGAGACGCTCGGAATGCCTGTTATGCGTGTCCTTCGTATGGCTTGGTAGCGGCTGACTGGCCGGTGGAAAAAGTGCCTTTGCCGGTGTAGTTTCGTGCTCGGAGAAGTTGCGGATGGAGATTCCTTTCGGGTTCGCCACCGGGTCTAGGAAATTGGCGAGGGTCAGTTGCGTGCCAGGCTCCTAACCCGCGGCGATCAACTCCAACCGGTCCTTATTACATCTGATCGCTGCCTTAGGATGGGCCGTGAATAGCCTCGCCAATTGCGAATAGAAGGCACCCTCCTGTTGGAGCAGGTCGTGGTCGCACTTATGCCATGGTACGCGTGATCGAGGGTATCGACTGACCTGATGGCTGAACTGCTCTCGTAAAATATCGTAGGCGACGAGCATTCGATATTGCCCTTCTATGCGATCGTCGAAAGAATGGAACCGGGCCGCGCGTAATTGAGGACGCACCATACCGGGTTGCTGGCGAACCGCGCCGTCACGTCCTCTAGCAGAGGTGCCACGTCTGCTTCCACATATCCAATACTCGAAGGCTGTCTCCCAGCCGACGGCATGTAAGTCAGTCTGTCCGCCGGCGGTGGATGTATGCGAAGATTGCCACTTCGTAGCTGTCTCTCCGAAGTCTGCTGTTCCCTTTACACTAAAGGGGCCAAGGAGGACCAGACGTGTCCAAAGCTCTCGTTCTCGTATCTTTGAGTTATTCACGATTTGGACAATTCGGACATCAATAAGGCGGGATCGAAGTGCGAGTCGGTGCCAGAGTCTTGAAGGTAATCGACGAGGCCTCCACAGAACTTGTACTGTTGGCCTCTATGTTGGAAGGTTCGCACTTGTTACTCCGCGAAGTCTGGAATACCGTCAGCGTCGTCCTTGAACTGGGGCTGAGACTGGGAAGAACATACCCTTTGGAGGCCAGGATCGACGCTTTTGGGCCCACAAAGACAAGTGAGCAAGGTGTTGTCGCAAGATAGAGGCCGGTTCCCAAATTTTCCCAGTCTCTCATCGATCTCTTGGGAATGGCCATAGAGTTCGATAATCTCTTACCATACGTCTTGCGTATGGTCTGTATCCGTGATCTGCCATACACCATGCGGTTGGCTTTCTGTCTGTCAATACCTCTCGCGGGTCGTCATGACTGCGTGGCGGTGTTGAGCCTTTCACAAGACCAAGCTTCTCTGATCGCACAAGGTCACAGATGACGACTTTCGCTTGGTGACTTGGGAAGTCGTCGATAGTCCGGATGTCGACGAGGCCGAAGGGGAGTCTCTTGGGATAGTAGGAAAAAAAAGCTGTAGCTGGACACGCTTTCATTGACTGTATCCGGTGATGATAAGAATGTTGCCGGTCTTGTACGTCAAACGTCAATGGGTCTCGGCATTTCCTTGAGACAGGACTTAAGGAGCTGTGAGACCATGTATGACACGAGTTCAACCACGGATCGGGCATTCGTGGGGTTGATGAACGAAGTGCCGAGTTTCTCTTCACGTCCTTCGACAACGTTGACAAACACCGGGTATATAGTGATGAGAATGTCGACTTGATGTTGCGTCCTTCATGGTTGTATGAAGGCCCTTCTTCTCGGACCATCAAGTGAGACTCATATCGAGGGCACCAAATACTGCAAAGAATGCGTGCAGCCAGATGCACCAGCATCCTGACGTCTTTATCGGACCCTATGAATGGGAGCGTTTTCTCAATCTGTTTTCGATGCCGGTGATTGTGTCAGAGGTGATACATGGTCTCCGTTGAGTGGTTGCTTCATGGCAGATCAACATACCTGGCGGCGATGGTCGGTCCTCGAAGGCAGACAGGGAGTCATCTTTCATGTCGAACATCCTTCTCCTACCATGAATTCCCCTTCTAATACCTTTCTCGCATGGCATCCCGCGGAAAGCAAAGGCACTCCCTCAAGGAAGGCTTGAATCGAGTGTGTTTGCTGATCTGTTTTCTCATCCCTCGATAACGGAGAGGCGGCAGGGACAACGGTGCACGTTGCTGTAGGCACGTTGGCTGCGGTGTATGTTGAGACTCTTGTATCATGTCTCGACTTCTGTGGTGGACAGCTGTGTGCTCGAGCGTGCGATGAAAGCGGCTCGGATATCTTGCGTTCTTTGGGCAACATCGGATCAATATAATGGGTGCATGTGTGCCGGACGAGACTGCCTGATACGCAGGAACATCCACACGGTAACGGGATGTAGCTTGGACATGCTCTGTGTAACTTGTCCAGCCACATCCATTCTCAAGAAGCCATCATGGCGAGACGAGGTTGAGGGAGGAGTATCTGCTGATGTTGCCGATGTTGCGACCGAAGCGATGTGTAGCCTGGACTGTTGATGCATCAGCTTCCTCGTCCTAGCCGATAGTACAGCTCGTCGAGACCAGAATGAAGGGACTTACACGGTAGTGTCTATACGTCTTCCGGATGTCATATTGGGAAGAGTCCAAGCCGAGGATCTGTTGGTAGAATATGCGTTGATGTGGGATACCCTAGGCATAGTAGGCTATTCTGGAGTTTCAGAATCGATGTATAAGAGCTTGATAACGCTCAGTTGTTGCCTGTGCGTCTGTCTGTGTGATGCGGATGGCCTAGGGAGCTGGCGTAGCCGGCAAAAGAAGTAGCCACGATCCTCATCACCCTGAGCGCCAGAATGGGAATGTTGGCATGCCGGCTGGGATTGGGAGTGCGATGGAGCCATCAACTGCGAAGTCGTTGGCGTTGGAGAGGGAACTGGCCCAGCGCGCCGCCGAACCACACGATGCTCTCGTCGAATCGACGCCTGCTCACGATGGGCTTCTCGTTCTTGAGGTGTGTCCTCAGGGTTCACGCCCCCGGCGAAAGAAGTGTGCTGGGCTGGCAACCCGAGAGAGCAGTCCAGGCATGCGCGGAAAAGAGAGAAGACTGGCAACACGGAACCATGCTGGGTGAATAAGTGTGAGCGTAAGGAGTCAATTATAAAGCCATCAAAGAGGCGAAGCTGTAAGTTGTAAGCTGCAAGTTGCCAGTCGTAGCTCAGGGCACCTTCATTCAAAAGCCCGGAGGGAAGCAGCCATATTTAAATCACAAACAAACAATCCCTCACTCAACCCCAACAGTACCACCACACAAGCAAGGCAGCCGAAAGAGAGAAAAGAAAAATTCTCATCCAAGCAATTCACCGCATTCGTGACAGAGTTTTCAAATGCATGCAACATTCCACCCCTGGCTTCGACGCAATTGCCCGCGAATTCCACGTCATTCAAGGCGGTTTTCAACTCGGCTGTCTGCTTTGCCATGACGCATGATGGAATCGAATGGAAAGAATATCCAAAGCATTTTGCTTGAATACTTGTCTTAAATGTTGAGATGTTCTGGTTGACGAGTCTTGTTGAGTAGAGGGGGGAGGGGGATGTCGCGGCATTAGACATGGGGTTGACGTGGACATGGTGATACCATACACTTGCTGTTCCTTGAAAGTTGTCACTTGGTGAAGCTGAAGAAATGAAACATGCATAAGAATAGTACAGTCCCGATAGCTTTGGGTAGAGAAAAAAGGAAAAGATGAAAGATGAATTGGCTGTTTCATTATCGTTCGATAACAAACCAACACATGAATGACAATGGGGTTGAATAGTACATCCGGAACCAGATCTCACAACTCGCCAAACAGCAACATACATGTGTATCTGCATCTGTAGCCAAACAATGGCAAGCTTCCCCTTCAAACGACAAACTTGCCGCCACACCCACCACACACCTCCCCCTGCGCATCCCCCACCGCCTCCACGCTTCCGAGGTGCTCCTCCGCCAGCCTCTCCAGCTCAGAGACGGTGAGACAGCGCATCTTGCAGACACCACACACGCGTGAGATCCCCGGTGCCAAGATGGGAATGCCAGTCGTGGCACATACAGCTAGGCTCTATGTATTAGCAAGATATACCCAGAAATAGGAAGCTTTTAAACAGGAGAGAGGCGCTCGTACCAAATGCGTGGCGGTTCTTGCAAGTAGCTACATCGTCCTTGATCGACAGCTGGGCGTCACAAAACACGCACAGCAGCTTCTTGGCAACGTCATTGAACAGTTCCCTCAACGGGCTGGTAGCCTGCTGCTGTCCGCGAGACGACGACGACTTCTTCTGCCCCGGGGACACGCCGGGGACGTCGCCCCCCAAACCATACATCCACTCCCATACCCGGCCTTCGGTGGTCAGAGGCTTGAAGATGGGCCTCACACGGTGTGGTCTGTCGTCGGCTGATGCCGAGACTTGCCAGTCAAAGTGGACGTTGACGACGCCACGGCGATCCGGGTGCTGCGTGTCGTGCTTTGTGGCGAGCACGGCCGTGCACCCATCGCCGGGAGATTTGGCTAGACCCCAGAGCCGGAATCGATGGGGGTGGACCTGTAAGACGGATTCCGATGGCGCTGGCGGCGCCTCTCGCATCACTCTCTCTGCGCCCTCTTCATCGTCGGACTCGAAATCGGAGTCTACACCGTACAGGGCGGCCGCACGGGCGACGAGGCGCGCATTCTGGCCCCCTATATCCTCCACCCACTGGGGGAGAGCAGCATCCCCGGGCAGGTTTGTCTGATACCAGTCGCGGTTCGTAGGAGTGGCGGATAGCCTCACCAGCGAATAGTAGGGAACTGGAGGCTTGTTGCGAGGATCGGGGTCGTGGACAATGAGCCCTAAAGAGAGCGAAAAAGAGGGTGTAAGAAACATCAGCCGTAAGCATACAAGATGAGTCAACATGGAACATACCTGTGATCGGGTTAGTGGACATTTCATCCGGGTTTGCGTAAGCTGAAGCGCATTCCCAGATAGAGTGCGGATGTGACGGCTCGCCCAAGACGCCATTGAGCACAACTTGGAAAGACTTGACGGACAGGGGAGTTGTCACGATCCCACGGGCAGTATGAGCTTCTCCTTCAGTCCAAACCTACTCTCTCCCCATCAGCGGCTATTTCCATGTAGACCACAACGAACAGCTGCCACTTACCGCATCCTCCCACTCAAGCAGCGCGTCACTGGAGAGAGGCAGACATATCGCAGTGGTGTCGCTTCGCTCGGACACCACATCCGGCAACTCGCCCCTTTCCCACTCGCCGTACAGTATGATCCGCCGGAAACCGACATGGTTCTTGGCAAGATAGGCAAGCGTTGCAGTTCTATATCCATCCTCAACGAGCCACGGGCTCCATTTTAGTGAAAAGATGCTGCCTTGAGGGCAAAAGTCTGGATCTTGCGGATCGGTAGCCTGGTAGAAGTAAGCATAGTAAACTACAGGCAGTAGGGAGGCAGACTTACTTCCTCGTGGGGGCCTCTTCCGTTGACTCGGACATGCTCCGTCAAGGTCCAAATCCATCCTCGCTCAGAGTCGCGCATGGAAGCATCTGCGCGCCGATGATACTGGATGCTCATGACGACAATCTGTCCGGCATCGTTCAGGTACGCCAGCAAGGCTCTTCCAGGCTCAATCTCCTTGGCCCATGAGAACGACACGATGCGCTCATCCATCGTTCGAAAACCGTCCCTGGACGTGGCATCGGGGATCGGCAGCTTGGCCCCCAGCCCCCAGAGCACCCTCCAGTTCTTGAACGTCCGCGTCCTCATGCTCGACGTGGCGGCTGACTGGCTATCGGCCTGCTCTCCGAACGTGACGAGGCTGCCGGCAGTTGTCAGGGCCATCAGCACCGGCCGCGAGTTGCAGCCCAGTCCGCTTGGTGACCATTCCACTCTGATGACCTGCCCCAACGCCGCGCCGGCCCCTGTGACCGTGCCATTGCCTACGCCTTTGAAGCTGCCCTCGTCGCCGGCTCGAAGCCCTGGCAGCTTGACGCCCGCTTGGGCACACAGCTGGCCGTTGATCTTGGGACTCGGGTTGATCACCGCGGATGGCTGGAGAGAGAGGGCGAACTGATACTGTGAGGCATCCCGTTCATCTGCGTCGGCATCGGGGCCGTGGAAGTCGGGCAGGAAGATGTAGATGCATTCCTGCGTGACGACGGCTAATTCGGCGTCGCATGACCAGGCAATGGCGTGTGGTGACGGCGGGCGGGAAGTGAGAGAGAGCGTTTGGAGGGGACGCGCCTGGGGTTTTGGAGGCCGAGGTCAGTAAGGACTTGACGTTGACATGTTTGAGCCTGTAGTAAAACAAACGCCTGCTTGGTATAAATTGAAGGATCACGATCTGGGCTAATCAATGTCAAGAACATCAACGAGACGAATCAGCTTCTTCACTGTTATACATGATTACATGACCGCTGAAAGTATTGATTGAGACAAAAAGGAGAAGCGGAAGCAAAATATGAAAGCATCGCGATCAAATGTCCAGAAAAGTTGATATCAGAGCTTGCGCTCAACTCACCCTGAATCGGTCCATGCTATGGAGGGCTCAGCGTAGCCAATTTCATCAGAACGCGCAAGCCTATAGTTCGTTTCATTAGTCTATTCCACAGATGGCTGTGATGAAAATAGATCAGCACTCGCCGGGCAGAGTCATGGGGAAGAAAGGCATGAATGAGGTCCAGTTGGAGGTTTGCGCGAGACTGAAGGTAAGGTACTGTATGAGCTGAAGAATGTTGCTGACTAAGCCGTCGTCATGTTATCGTTCACGAACCTTTGAAGGTCGAGTAGGTACAAGATCACTATGCTCGTGCTAGGTACTTATATCAGGGCTTTATTACAACAGTTTCCCAATGCTTGAATAGTTTCATGCTAAGCCCCGGGATTGATCATGATCTACAGTCGAATTTGATGCTCGAAAACAAAGAAAAGGCAATACACAAACGATATAGACCACAAGGCTATGACTCCAGCAACGAGCCAACTCCCCACAATAGCGCACATCCAGCAAGCGCCGTAGCCCCAATGACCTTCTTCGACCACGAGTCATCTTCGCTGAGAGCTTTGGCGCCCTGGACCTTTCTCGGCGGCGCGGTAGGGACGCTGGCGGGAATAGATGTCTCATTATGCTGGCGAGCCGCGTCCTCCTCCGCTTCCTTCTTCCGCAGCTCGGCAATGGTCTTGCTCAACTCGATCAGCTCCTCCTCCAAGGCCAGGTCCTTGGCTCGGTCTACCTCGACGTTTTGGATGTTGCCGAAGAAGTCGGTGATGAGGCGGCTACGGGCGGCTTCCTCTCCTCCGGGGAAGAGATCGTAGCGGACGCCGGCGGTGGAGTGGATCTTTTCAAAGTCATAGCTGTCAAACAGCTCGCCAAGCGTCTTTTTGCTGCTGAGGTCCTGGACGTGGGCTTCGAGGAATTCCAGGTTGTAATAGGTGTATCGATCGATGACTGCGACACCGACGTCGTTGTCGGCGTGGTGAGAGTACGATGACTGGTCGAGCTCGGAGGATCCCGTGGCAATGATGTTGGGGGAGTACAGCCTGCTGTACATGGTGTTTGCTTGGCAGGTATCGATCATGAATAGGATTTCGTGGTATCTAAGCATTCAAGTTAGTCTGAGCATTTCTATTAAAGCAGGGTTGATGTCCAACCTCTTCTTCTCCCACATCTGCTCAAAGGCATCGGCAAGGTCGAATGCGCCAATCTCCTCCGCATCCTGGAACTTGAGAAACTCGTTTCCACCGTGGCCCGTCATGTACACAAAGATGTTGCTCCGATCGTCGGTCAGCAGCCTCTTGCTCCGGGGCGTCTCGTCGCCAACGCGGTCCGTCAGGAGGCGGATGAAGTTTTCGACAGTGACCTCGTAGCCGCGATAGTCGACCTCGATGTTGTCGCCGTACAGATCCACCGCACGGTCGGAGTTGCTGTAGACGGTACCGGGGAAGGCATTGCGCGGGTTGCAGGCCATGTCGTCGGGGAGCATGAGGATGATTTGCGAGTCGGGGATGCCCAGGCGCTTGACGGTCCGGTACATGGACAGGACATTGGCGAGATGGCGGTAGTTGAACCAGAAGCGCGATGTGCAGACCAGGACGGCCCAGTTGCTCGTGTGCTCGGCGACGGAGGCCGATGCGAGGAGCAGCGAGGCCACGAGGGCGCGGAAGCTGAGGCTGGAGAGCTTCATCGCGGCCGAGTCGCGGATTGGAGCTGATGGCGGCTGCCTAGGAGAGTTGGTACACTACCTGAGTAGTAGTAGTAGCGAGAGTGATGGGGCTGTCGAGTGCTGCGGCGGCGATGCCATAGCAATGCCGCTTAGGGATGGATGGGATCGTGCGGTTGAGTCGCATCGTATCGACAAGTCTCCCGTTGGGCCATCTCCAAAGGCTTACAAATCTGGACCTCCTTTCGCGCTAACGGCTCCAGGGCGAGGAAAGGTACAGAGTACCATCCAAAACGCCTTAGCTTCGTGGCGTTGTTTGAGATCTGGCGCTGTATGTGCTCGTACTCAGTACGCAGCATGTGGAGCAGCAACTGCAGTGAAGGTGGAAGTACCCGTAACTAGACGCGGCCGCTAAAACATGTGACAAGAGGCAGCAGAAAAGCGAGTTTGACAAGGAACCGGTATTCATTGAGCGTTGAGCGCGGTGATTATGATCGAGTACGCGTAAGTAAGTTGCATATCACTTACTACTAGTAGTACCTACTACCTATCTAAGGTAGGTTAGTCATTAGGAGAAAGCGGTGGTCAATCAAGTCTAATGCGCCAGGAGCAGCAAATGCGAATACGGCGTGCGGTAAAACGTAGCATTTCGTGGCTGCTGATCGAGGGTCCTCATTTCGCGGCTTACAAACATAAAAGAAGGGGAAAAAAAAGATGAGGTCCAAGACTCGGCATCAGTCAAAGCAGGAGGAAATGATACTACATCGCCCGCCAATACAGTTCCTCTATTTCTCGCCCCCGCGTCGCAATCTGGCAGAATCTTGGCCAAAGAAAGACCCCAGACGGTGATTTGGCTGGGAAGCCCATAATCACAAGCCAAAACAAGGGGGAGGAAATGGCCGGCCATGCACCACCAACCAGGGTTTCATGCGCCCCACGTGCCCCAATGACGAAACAGGCTGAAGAGAGAGAGAGAGAGAGAAAAAAGTTGCACAAGGAGGTGCAGAGGGAAAGGAAGGGAAGAGGAGGGCTGAGAAGAGACGAGAAGAGCTGAATCAGCAGACCGAGGCTGGGAATAAAAAGAGGCACAAAAAAGGCACCAGAGTTTAAGGAGGAGCACGGAGCTGATGCCACATGGAATGGGGAGGTATTCGCAAAGTACCGCCCGAGACAGCCTCGTTTTGATTAGCGAGTACCTGGACGAGATTGATCGGCCGCGAATACCGCTGTGCTGCTCTTGGCTCCCCCAACCCTGGCCCGTACAGCTACAGTGGGATGTACTCTACCGCCACGCGATTGATGAATCAATTTCCACTGCCGGCCGCCATAAATACCTGCTGGCTACAAGGCTCGTGCCATCGCCAGCAACGCCATCGTTCCCCAGCTCTACCTGCCCACCGGTATCCTCTCACCTCTCTCCAACACCAAACCCTCGCCCTTATAAACCACGGCCGTGGTGGCGAGGGCCCGGCAAACCCCCCCATCCGTTGCATCTCGCCTTTACTCGTGCCGACGGAGTGGTAATTGATGCCTGCAACCTGCAACCTGCAACCTCCGTGAGGCCACCGAAGTCCTGAGCTCACACTCACCATCAACCATCCGTTTGCCAGCCTCGACGAATCGAACCACCCTTCTGTCGATTCAAAGCCGGCGGCAACGCCTCGCATCCGCACCATCAGCCCTGCAGTGCTTCCCTCCTCCTTCTTTCACGGCCAGCTGATCACAACCCCGCTGCAAATCCTGGTTCTCTTCGATTTTTCCCTCCAGGCTTTTGGGGTGTCCAAATTGGCCCCCTCACATGCGGAGAACGGGGGGGAATTTGGCAAGTCTGTGTGGTGAAGCAGCCAGGCAGACGCGTCAAAGCAGCTGATCGGGTGTTGGGTCCTTATATACCTCGCCAGGGAACCATCGCTGATGAACTCGCTTGAAACTGACTGCCTTTGCGCAAAGCTGATTCCGCCTTGATTTGTTTATCTGTCCATCACCGACCCATCTAAGCCATCTGTCGACCATCATCACCCTCTTCATCACCAAGAGCCAACATCAGATCTCAACAACCATGGGTCGACGGCTACCATCGCATATCTTTGTCGTAAGGTAAGTGGCAAACCCAGACACAATTGCGCAGCGAAGCCATCAATTGGCCAGCCGTCACTAACCTGCGTGGCATCTCAGACACGGCAACCGACTCGATACCGCCAACAAGCAATGGCATCTGACTTCACCCACCCCCTACGATCCTCCTCTCACGTATGGCGGCTTTCTGCAGGCCCGGCTGGTCGGCAACCAGATCATGAGCATCCTCGAGCAGGCAAAGGTCGATGCCGAGGTCACAAACAACGGCTCCACACTGAGCGGGAAGCGCCGACGCTTCAGGGTCGTCATCCATAGCTCTCCCTTTCTGCGGTGCATCCAGACGGCCGTGGGCATCAGTTCAGGCCTTGCGCAGACGCCCGCCGATTCTATATACCAGCCTTCCGATGTTCTCGTTCCGCGAAAAGCCCCGATTGGCCAGCAGAGCCCGCACAAGTTCGCCCTGCTACGACTCGACTCTTTCCTGGGAGAGTGGCTATCGCCAGAGTACTTTGAGATGATCACACCGCCTCCAGGCCCGGAACTCATGATGGGCAGCGCAAAGGCCGAGCTTCTGCGGCGGGAGGACTATAGCATGTACACAGACGCTTCGGCAGCAAGCAGTAACCAAGCAGCAGTAGCGACGACATCCAGGGGTGCTCTGTGGAGCTCGCCCGTGTCATCTCCCTCGCAGCAAAACGCCCCGTCAGGGCCAGACCAGGGCAACGCCTTCAGCTCCTCGGCCATGGCTGCTGCGCTGTCCTCGGCATCACAGGAGCAGAAGAAGGGCTACGTGCCTCCGCGGCCGTTGCATGCCGTATCGAGCAATGGCAAGATCCCAGATGGGTTCGTCGCCCATGCCAGGGACTCGTGCGTCCTGATCGACTTTCAGTGGGACTCGATGAGGCCACCGCTGGCCTTTGGCGATGGTGGAAAACTGCCTGAAGAGTGGACGGCGATGCACCAGCGCTTTCGCTCCGGCCTGAAGCGAATGGTCAACTGGTACGCGACGGCAGACTTTCCCGACGAGATGATTGGCGCACCGGTCAACGAAAACGACGTCAGCTGCAGCGACAGCGGCTACGGCGAAGAAGACGAGGAAGAGATTGAGACAGTTCTCATCATCGTGTCTCACGGCGCCGGCTGCAACGCCCTCATTGGCGCCATTACGCACCAGCCCGTTCTCATGGATGTTGGCATTGCCTCCATTACCGCCGCCGTCAGACGATCGGATGCCAACTTCGCCAAGGCTCTTGCTGCTGCTTCGGAACGCCAGGGCGGTGCCTCTGAGCCTCCCCAAGCCAGTGTTGATGAACTGTATGAGATTCGCCTCTCTGCAAGCACAGAACATCTCCGCTCCAACTCCTCAGCGTCCGTCACGGCGAGGCCCGCGTCCCCCAGGAACACTTGGAGTCCTTCTGCCCGTCGTGGCCGCACCTCGGCGCTGGCGTCCCCTACGGCGGCTACGACCTCCTTCAGCCCCTTTGCATTCTTCGAGTCGGCCACGTCCGGCAACCGCAGCACTTCCGCGAACGCGTCCGTAGGAGCCTTTACACGACGAGATTCTGGATCCACACGGCGATCTCCCAGAGCGCCACCGCCCGTGAGCGCGGGCTATGAAACCGAGGGCGGCAGCTTCGCAGCAGGACGAAAGGCCGCTCCGTCTCCAGGACTATGGGCGCCCTCACGCCCTTCACTACGTCTGATCGATGTCGACGAGGAGGCAGTCGACGACTACGAAAACATGTTTCCCGATTTCGACAACAAGCGGTTCAGACCGGCATCCGACGAGAACATCAAGCCGACGTCTGAGAAGCCCTCGTCGGAGCCATTCCCCGAGCTCGCCCCGCCAATCAAGATTACAGCGTCTCCCCAAAGGGCAGTCTTTGCAGCGCCTATCAAGCTGAACACGGACCTGGCATTTGGGGAGCCCGAGGAAGAGATGCCGCTGGCGCAGCTCGGCGGACTGTGGAACCTGGCCATGCCGCCGAGCGACGCGGATAGGCTAAGGGATCTGACCCAGACGAAGAGGAGGTGGACTGTGAATGAGAGGACATGATGAATCTGACTGCAACTCTCTTTCTCTCTTGGTGATATTTTGTGAATCTTTATATTTGATATATTCCTGAGTGGTGGCGTCAGCGACTGGTTATTGATTTGAACGGGCTTGGTTTGGGAATCATCATGTCGGCGCATGGAAAGGAAAAAGAAGGGAAAACGGTGGTTACGGTGGCAATCGGTACTCGTCACCCTCGTTTACAAGACTGGGATTTCACATGGATTGAATCTCGATATGTACAAAAGGATAGCAAGCAAGCAAGCAGGGCGAAATCAAGGACTTTTGTGATTTTCTCTTTTCGGGTTTGCACTTATCAGAACGCGGTTCCATCCATGCATCAATCCTGGCCTCTTTATGTCCTCCTGGGACCCTTCTCGTGCTTCTCTCCTTGGTGTGTCTATGTGATCTCAGTGTTATCGATGGGTACCTACCTACCTACCTACTTCATTATGGGAGATTAAAGCATGTATATAATACCTAGGGCAATAGCACTCTGGGCAATGGAGTTAGTTTATGAGTCTCCATATCACTGCTTCTATGGTTGGATCTTGCCGTCGGACGCGATAGTTGCATCTCCAAGACAAACTTTGAAACTTGGAGTAAATTGCCGTGGTTCGATGTACATGTATAGCCATCCGCTTCACCCCTCTTGATGCAAGGAGAAAATAAGGCATCTAAATCTACAGGCGAGATAGAATAAATATGGCCCGTCTAATGTTGTCCCATTTCCAAGACTCCTCCTCATGAGAACCCAAAGATACCAACCACCTCCCCCCTATATATATACTTTTCCATGATCCCTTCCCCCCCTCCCCCAACCCCTCTCACCATGAACATTTTCCCTAAAAAGTCAAAACACATATGCCAATGATATCACAGAATAGAAAGAAAAAAAA